AACATGATTGCACACCGTAAACACCAACATGGGTTTGCCGGTGTGTGTGTGCGTACCTGTTTGTGTGCGAGAGAGAGAGAGATAGAGAGAGAGAGAGAGAGAGAGATAGAGAGGAGAGAGAGAGAGAGAGAGAGAGAGAGAGAGAGAGAGAGAGAGATAGAGAGAGATAGAGAGAGAGAGAGAGAGAGACGAGAGAGAGAGAGAGAGAGAGAAGAGAGAGAGAGAGAGAGAGAACTAAACATTAGCGTCACAGGTAACTTCCACAAAGCTGTGAATGGCCTTCTATTTCATCGAAAGGAACATAAAATTCGACGTACCAATTAGGATCTGTCTAAAAATACTTGAATCAGTTATAGAACCCATTGCCCTTTATTGGTTGTGAGGTCTGGGGTCCGCTCACCAACCAAGAATTCATAAAATGGGACAAACACCAAATTGAGATTCTGCATGCAGAATTCAGCAAAAATATCCTCCATGTACAACGTAAAACACCAAATAATGCATGCAGAGCAGAATTAGGCTGATACGCGCTAATTATCAAAATCCAGAAAAGAGCCGTTCAATTCTACAACCACCTAAAAGGAAGCGATTCCCAAACCTTCCATAACAAAGCCATCGCTTACAGAGAGATGAACCTGGAGAAGAGTCCCCTAAGCAAGCTGGTCCTGGCCTGGTCCTGGGGCTCTGTTCACAAACACAAACAGTCCCCACAGAGCCCCAGGACAGCAACACAATTAGACCCAACTAAATCATGAGAAAACAAAAAGATAATTACTTGACACATTGGAAAGAATTAACAAAAAAACTGAGCAAACAAGAATGCTATTTGGCCCTAAACAGAGAGTACACAGTGGCAGAATACCTGACCACTGTGACTGACCCAAAATTAAGGAAAGCTTTGACTATGTATAGACTCAGTGAGCATAGCCTTGCTATTGAGAACGGCCGCCGTAGGCAGACCTGGCTCTCAAGAGAAGTGCACACTGCCCACAAAATGAGGTGGAAACTGAGCTGTACTTCCTAACCTCCTGCCAAATGTATGACCATATTAGAGACACATACAGTGGGGAAAAAAAGTATTTAGTCAGCCACCAATTGTGCAAGTTCTCCCACTTAAAAATATGAGAGAGGCCTGTAATTTTCATCATAGGTACATGTCAACTATGACAGACAAAATGAGGGAAAAAAATCCAGAAAATCACATTGTAGGATTTTTAATGAATTTATTTGCAAATGATGGTGGAAAATAAGTATTTGGTCAATAACAAAAGTTTCTCAATACTTTGTTATATACCCTTTGTTGGCAATGACACAGGTCAAACGTTTTCTGTAAGTCTTCACAAGGTTTTCACACACTGTTGCTGGTATTTTGGCCCATTCCTCCATGCAGATCTCCTCTAGAGCAGTGATGTTTTGGGGCTGTCGCTGGGCAACACGGACTTTCAACTCCCTCCAAAGATTTTCTATGGGGTTGAGATCTGGAGACTGGCTAGGCCACTCCAGGACCTTGAAATGCTTCTTACGAAGCCACTCCTTCGTTGCCCGGGCGGTGTGTTTGGGATCATTGTCATGCTGAAAGACCCAGCCACGTTTCATCTTCAATGCCCTTGCTGATAGAAGGAGGTTTTCACTCAAAATCTCACGATACATGGCCCCATTCATTCTTTCCTTTACACGGATCAGTCGTCCTGGTCCCTTTGCAGAAAAACAGCCCAAAAGCATGATGTTTCCACCCCCATGCTTCACAGTAGGTATGGTGTTCTTTGGATGCAACTCAGCATTCTTTGTCCTCCAAACACGACGAGTTGAGTTTTTACCAAAAAGTTCTATTTTGGTTTCATCTGACCATATGACATTCTCCCAATCCTCTTCTGGATCATCCAAATGCACTCTAGCAAACTTCAGACGGGCCTGGACATGTACTGGCTTAAGCAGGGGGACACGTCTGGCACTGCAGGATTTGAGTCCCTGGCGGCGTAGTGTGTTACTGATGGTAGGCTTTGTTACTTTGGTCCCAGCTCTCTGCAGGTCATCCACTAGGTCCCCCCGTGTGGTTCTGGGATTTTTGCTCACCGTTCTTGTGATCATTTTGACCCCACGGGGTGAGATCTTGCGTGGAGCCCCAGATCGAGGGAGATTATCAGTGGTCTTGTATGTCTTCCATTTCCTAATAATTGCTCCCACAATTGATTTCTTCAAACCAAGCTGCTTACCTATTGCAGATTCAGTCTTCCCAGCCTGGTGCAGGTCTACAATTTTGTTTCTGGTGTCCTTTGACAGCTCTTTGGTCTTGGCCATAGTGGAGTTTGGAGTGTGACTCTTTGAGGTTGTGGACAGGTGTCTTTTATACTGATAACAAGTTCAAACAGGTGCCATTAATACAGGTAACGAGTGGAGGACAGAGGAGCCTCTTAAAGAAGAAGTTACAGGTCTGTGAGAGCCAGAAATATTGCTTGTTTATAGGTGACCAAATACTTATTTTCCACCATAATTTGCAAATAAATTCATAAAAAATCCTACAATGTGATTTTCTGGAGAAAAAAATTTCTCAATTTGTCTGTCATAGTTGACGTGTACCTAAGATGAAAATTACAGGCCTCTCTCATCTTTTTAAGTGGAAGAACTTGCACAATTGGTGGCTGACTAAATACTTTTTTCCCCCACTGTATTTCCCTCAGATTAAACAGACCCACAAAGAATTAGAAAACAAATCCAATTTTGATCAACTCCCATATCTATTGGGTGAAATACCACAGTGTACAATCACAGCAGCAAGATTTGTGACCTGTTGCCACAAGAAAAGGGCAACCAGTGAAGAACAAACACCATTGTAAATAAATATGTATATTTATTTTCCATTTTGTACTTTTAACTATTTGCACATCGTTGCAACACTGTATATAGACATAATATACCATTTGAAATGTCTTTATTCTTTTGGAAATTTTGTGAGTGTAATGTTTACTGTTAATTTTTTATTGTTTATTTCACTTTTGTTTATTATCTATTTCACTTACTTTGGCAATGTAAACATATGTTTTCCATGCCAATAAAGCCCCTTAAAATGAAATTGAATAGAGAGAGAGAGAGAGAGAGAGAGAGAGAGAGAGAGAGAGAGAGAGAGAGAGAGAGAGAGAGAGAGAGAGAGAGAGAGAGAGAGAGAGAGCGAGAGAGAGAGAGAGCGAGAGAGCGAGAGAGAGGGGAATAAAACACCCCCCTGTCTTTTTGTGTTAATTTGACCAGGGCATGCCTCCATGTCATCTAACATGAGCAAACACAGAGAATCTTTTCAGGCTGAATCAGCATCGGAGGAAGAGGGGATTTAGCCTTGGAGAAATGAGCCTGGCAGCCTGTGCTTCAGGGGCCTGTCTGTCAGGGGGCCAGCGGCGGCTCATATAGGGAGGGGTCAGGGGGGTGTTTGAGGAGACACAAAGGGGGACACTTTGCCCCCGTGAATTGGGTGTAATTAGCAAGATTCGTCCCCTGCTCTTAACTCGCCCGTCTGCATCTCAACACCCCCCCATTGTCCCCCTGGTGCAGCTCATCCACTGGGCCTGGTCTAATTACAACCCCTTCAGGAGAGACAGGCAGGCAGGGGACAGGAGAGGAGAGGGCCTCTATAGGAAAGCTATACTGTAGGCAGGATTCTACCCAACACCCGGGAATTAGCTACTGAAGAGGGGCTGGCGGGGTTGAGGGAAACGTTTCATAAGTTAGACGATGACACATGTGGCGGTTAGATTTTGGAAAAATGGCATTAAAACACTAGAGTTGATTCACACACGTGCACACACACACACACAAACTCCCTCACAATGACAAACACTCACAGCCTCTACGCCACTGGTGTTAATTTGCTGTCGTAGGAATATTTATGGGAGACTGTTAAAAGCATTGTGTAATGTTGTTGTGCTAAAATTGTGTTATTGTGTCAATATAGTTGTTTTAATTAAAGAACACTCATTCCAACTGTACTCAAACCATTATTACTGTCATAAAAAAAACTATTTAAATCAACAGTTGTGAAATAAAAATGACTGGATTCAAGTGAAGCAAAAACATTTACTCTTGAGTCACAACTATTCCAGACTCATTCATGGTAAACTGTGCTGTTTTGCCTGTTGCGCAATACTCCATGTTTGTGTTTAGCGACTCACAGTGTGTTGAATAACTGATCCTCCCCATAGGCTATTGTAGCACCACCCAGAATGCTGCTGAAGTGCTGAGAGTTTTTATAGGTTGGAATAGAGCTGTTATGAATGCATTAAGCAGCTTGTTATAAACAGTTATAGCAGTTCAGAGAATGCTGCTGTTCTGTGCCAGGCTCAGCTGACGGGGAACTCTTCCCAAAATAGTATTTGTTAATCATCGTTGGGAGCTCTTCTGTCTCCTCGCTTCCCCCGTTGCTGTGACATATATAACCGCGGCGCTTATGAACGCACAGACCTTGGACCTATTGTGGACTGAGTTGACCTCATTGTTTGAATTGTTTACTATTTTTGCATTTTTTCAGGGAGTCGAGCGGCGGTTAGCTACGCTATATTGTTGAGGAGACAATTGACTGAGAGAGAGAGGAATGAGTGTGAAATGTCTGAATAACTGAGTTAAACCTGTGGTTGTAGAATAGAGACAGAAGACTCTAAGCCTGACCAGATGTTTGTGTTGTGTTTTGAAGCACTCCCTTTATACAGAGAGTGTGGTATGGGAGAAAAGACAGCTCATGACTTCTCACAAAGAACAAAAGGGATACAGTGTTTACACACGTCACTGAATTCAGCCCCGTCAAACTAATTAAATGTTGGTGTATGTTGTTCTTTGAATCATTGGGTTTCGCTGTGCAAAGCAGAAGAATCTTCTGCGGTTTTGAAAGTTTTGATAGCGAAAAAAGGAGCAGTTGCCCAGTATGGAGTAAGCAGAAAAGAGGCCCATTTTCCAAATATGACCTAGGCAGCAAAGAGGCCCCACATTCACTTCAGAATGCAGTATTGGTGAGTGTTGACATGAGGGCTGTGTGGTATCGTTTTACCCTGCTCTCACACAATCGCCTGTCTCTTGAGCCACCATTTTGAAGCTGTGTTCGTTAAAAACCGTGGTTTGAGTTTTAGTCCTTTTGAATGGTAACAGCTGTAACAATTCAAAGCACGCTGTGAATAATTTATGAAAATGTAAGGTACCTGAACTGAATACACTCCCACACATGGCTGGAAAGAGAGGAATCTACCAACTCCCACTCCCACCATTTTATAAGATTCTTCCATTACAAAATCATGACTAAATCGTTTATCATCTCTGTGGTCTACCAGAAGACCTGAGGGAGCTTTAGTGCCTTCATGACACAGCCCTTCCCAATATATGATACATAACAGGCTAATTCAAATCAGGACCTCGAAGCCAGTTCCAATCCTGATTTTCAATCTTCCCCTCTAATCAAGGACTGATTTAGACATAGGACACCAGTGGTGTAATCATTAGTCCTAATGTTATGAAGCTAAAACAAGAGTTTCTATTGGACAAATTCAGGTAGGTCCCCTACATTTTCATTCCATTTGCTGCTGTTTAAGAAACATTTTGCAACAGAATCGCCGTAATGAATACACCCCAGGTCGGTGCAATTAATTATCAGGTAAAACAGAAAACCTGCAGTATTCCGGATTTCCAGGCTTGAATTTGAATACCCCTAATATATAATACTCTCTCGTTCTCTCTGTCTGTCTCTCTCTCTCTCTCTCTCTCGCTCTCTCTCTCGCTCTCTCTCTCTCTCTCTCTCTCTCTCTGCATCTCTCCTTGTGTCTCTGTCTCTGTCTCTGTCTCTGTCTCTGTCTCTCTCTCTCTCTCTCCAGCAGTCATATGTGTCCTCCGGCCACCAGATGGCACCCCCCAGTCCCAACAGCAGCAGCAACAGCAGTGTCGGGGGAGGGGAACAGCTGAGTAAAACTAACCTGTACATCCGCGGTCTTCACCCCGGGACCACAGACCAGGACCTGGTCAAGCTATGCCAGCCGTAGGTCTTCTCCTCCTACTTGCACACTTTCTTTTACACGGGTAGGGCGAAGTTGCCCCTAGATGCTGATTTAAGATCAGTTTAGTATTTTCATCCTGGTGGTTAGAGTTAGGATGGAAGCAGGATAAACTAATCCTAGATCTGTGCCCACAGGTGACTTCTACCTGGAGCTCTTCAACAGGTGCTACTTTGCCACAAAGTGACTACGGTTATTACTTTCAGGCTACCTATATAAAAGCTTACCCCCAGATCAGAACTGCATTATGGTTGGCGATACAACCTACTCGTGTTGCGACAAGGGTTGTTGTGACTGGATATTGCGCATTTTCAGGGTTGCTATGGGGAAAGTTACATTTGGGGAAAGTTACCCCTGACGCATGTACTGCACACTAACCAAGGCCATCCATTGTTTCAGGTACAATGCACATTACAGACTCACAATATAAGTTGCTGAAAGTAAAAGGCTTGTGTCAGCAGCAGTGCTACAGCTAGGTGGAGTTGGAAGAGCATGTGTTTGTAACAAGCTATTCTTTATAATCCCATAATTTACGTAATGATACTATAACCATAGAATGTGATCAAATGGGTGATTTATAGAATTGATACCTACACCTGGGGAATGACTGTATTCACCCCAGTCCAAATGAAGCATGTGAATCAGAATGTGTGAATCAAAGTCCATTTGAAATAATTACTATATAAAGAGTCGAGAAGTGTAAGGAAAACCAGGGGATTAAACAGATAGAAATGAAGAGAGAAATATAGATTAAATACAAGTTATAGAGAGGGAGGGAGAGAAGGGGCCAGAAAGGGGTAAACATCCTCCTCCATGTCCTGATGTAACCTCCCTCACTAAAGAGACTGGAGAGGCTCAGCAGGAGAAAACCAAGACCCACATCCAACAAGTCACCATCTACAAACAACACACACTCTTAAACTGGCCTTTCACACACACACACACACACACACACACACACACACACACACACACACACACACACACACACACACACACACACACACACACACACACACACACACAGGAATGATTTAAACAAACTGTTGAGTGGGAGAGAGGTTAGAAGAGGACTCTGTGATCATCTAGGCCATCAGAATACCAAGGAAACTTCCAAATTCCCTATATAGTGCTGTATTACCAATTGGCAAGCCTGGAGATGTATGTGTTGTAGTGTTGAATAAACAATCAGGAAAGATGGATACATTAGGAACTACAGCCAGAAGCATCAAGGTCATACATAGTGGACACACACACACACACACACACACACACACACACACACACACACACAGAAAACAACACAACATAACACAACACATACAGTCAAAAAAGGCGGGCTTGCTTTCACTAACAAAAAACGTAACATCCAGCCCAGGCACCAGAGAAACCACACCAGTAGTGAACAAGTTGTGCACTTGTTCACTACTTCCCACAAATCTTAAAGCATTGGATTGGTGGAGCCATGGGCTAGTGAGAGTTTCCACCATATTTCTTATACCAGTCATTTCCTGTCAAATCAGTGAAGGGAAGTGAACAATTGCACACTTTGGGAAGAAGGAGAGAGAATTGGTATGCAGACACAGCCTCTGTTAATAGGGTCCAGTTTTGATGCATTCTGATTATTGTTTGGATAAGTGAAGGAGTGTAGAGTGAGTGACCTAGAGAGGAGTATGAATTTTTAATTGCTATTTAAAACAGAAAACTCTGAACAGGGTAAAGACTGGAGATTGACATCAAGTTGGAGAGGGAGGGGTGGGTTTGTGTAATATGTGTTGGAGAAGGGGAGGTGGGGAGGGGGATTCGCAGAAAAGTGAACCTTGGAGGGGAAATGCAATTGACTGGGAAAAGAATACCATGGCATGCTGGGTAAAGAATGCCACAGGCCTGTAAGTGGGTCAGAGTTGACAGCTAAGACATTCTACCCCATCCTCCCCTCCCTACTACACACACACACTTTACAACAATTGTTGATGAAGTTGAGGTAGGAGGAAGGTCAGAGAGTTACCGCCCCACAACCTTTGAACTGTTCAACAGGATGCATGACTTTGTTAATGACAACACAAACTATTACTCTCTCTCTCCATTACAAAAGAGGTCTCATCCCCACCAAAAAGTTGGTGGGTATTGAGTGTTTATGTATGGTTGTGGTCATATGGCTCAAGGTAGAAATTCCTCCCTATTCACAGATCTAAAATCAGATTACCTAACTTCCAATACTAACCAACAATGTCAGAGTTTAGGGGCAACTTCATCCTACTCCATGTGTGGCCACTAATGCTAACGGCCAGGCTTTAGGACCCAGAGGTGGAAAGAGAGAGCGGGAGCAGAGGACAGTGGAGAGAGAGAGAGGGGACAGGAAGGGGTGAGGGATCCGGTTACACTCCACCCCAGCGCTTTGTCAGGGCCAGCCAGTGGAACACCAGCCTCCCTCGCTGACTGCATTACACAGAGACAGTGGAGGGCAGGGCCTCTCTCTCTCTAGTAGAAGTCAGGATGGCCGAGCAGTCTAAGGCGCTGCGTTCAGTCTCCCCTGGAGGTGTGGGTTTGAATCCCACTTCTGACATCTATTTTATTTCACTATCCTATACCATTGTACTGTAAAGTTACACTGCATACTACTAAGCAATACTTTAACTTTCCTATTCTAGTGCTCTTTGTTTATATTGTAGCAAATCTGGGGGTGTAGCCCCGACCAGGATTCAAACCCGGGTCCAGTGACTGTCAAGCCAACACCTTAACTCTATTATGTTTTGCTCTATTTTTCTATACTATCAGTGATGGCTATACAGGACAGTCTGTGTCACATTAGGCTGTCAGTTCTCTAAAGTGCCACCATTTTGGTCGAATAGGCCTGTGTTCATAAATATTTGCTGTGTGACCTCAAATGTTTATTTGGTAGTACCAGTGTGCTTAGAAAAATATTCACCCAGATAATACATTGAACGGCAAAATTGTAGTTGTGCCTCTGGGTTTGGGAGCAAGCAAAGTTGTTACATTTGTGTGTTTGTTTCATGTCTGGTGAGCCCTGGCTGTTGTTACATTTGTATCATCATCATAGTGGCGTGCATCTTGAGCATGTTCATATGATACTTTGTATCATTTCACCTCTAACCTGTGAGAGTGAAGATGAAATTCAGCAACTCTTTGAGTACAGTAGAAGTTATTTGCTTCTGTATTGATAAAATTAGGGGCGCCACTTTTTATAAGTGGGGGGACATTAAAAAAAGTAATTAATTATCCAGTCGGATAAACACTCCAAACAGCCTACCCGACCGCTTGGAGGCGTCCGCATGGTACTAAAGCACACCATTGCCTCGTTTTGTATCACATTCCAATGATAAAACTGGGGGGGACAAAAATGCAATTTCAGAATGTGGGGGGGGGGACATGTCCCCCATCTCCAGTGAAAGTTGCACCCCTTGTTAAAAGTAAATACTAATGTGTTAGTCTTCAGCTGGATTTTACAGTGAAAAATGACAGAGGCTTTTATATGTTTCAAAATTACGTACTGCTTGCCTATTGGTCGGATTTTTGCAACTAATTTACCAATTATATGTTTTGCCTTGTACTTGCATTCTGATTGGTCCCTGAACTGGTTTTGACTAGATAGAGTAGGCCTACAGCTTATGTCAAAATGTACTTTTCGTGGCAGGTTAGGAGAATTAGGTTAAGGTAAGGAAAATGGTTAGGGTTAGCTAAAATAAATTTGACAAAAATCTACTTTTGACGTCAATTTGATATAATAATAATATGCCATTTAGCAGACGCTTTTATCCAAAGCGACTTACAGTCATGCGTGCATACATTTTTGTGTATGGTTGGTCCCGGGGATCGAACCCACTACCCTGGCGTTACAAGCACCGTGCTCTACTAGCTGAGCTACAGACATGACCCTCTGAACCCATTGGATGCCTCCTTCAATTTACTAACTGTAATTTTAAAACCCTGATGAAACATGGTCGAAGGGCATTTTTACTTTTAACTAAAGAAGCTTTTTTTTTATCAACTTCCACTGTCCTCCAGGAGTTGCTGAATTTCCTCTTAACTTCAGTTTGCTCCTCAATTCATGCACCGTGGTCGGAGAGCGAGGTAGCAGCCGTGTCCACTTCCTTTTGCACTTTACCTGTGAGAACCATGAGCACGGGCAAGTCTCATTAAGCTGATTAACAACTTGAAGGCTGCTAACTGTTTGATAAAAAACAACCTTGTCCAGTCATGTTAGCTAGCTGGATAACAACAACCTGGTAACTTGACCAGTATGAGTATGGTTTAAGATGGCACTGGAAGAAAGGAAAGGGTCTCCTGGATAGCTACTAGAAGAGTGTGCTTCGAAGGTAGGATTCATATAGGGCCTTCGTTTTTTTATGGTGCTCCTAAATACTATTTGATGCTCCTAACTTTTTTAGGTGGGGCTTAGCCCTTTCAATCAGGCCATTGATGGACAAGGTTTCTGTCCATTTAGGGGGCCCTTTTTGGCTCAGGAGCATCCCCAGAGACAAAGATTCTGTATAGCCTATGTAACTGTTATAGGCTTAAAACAATAAAATAGTGTGTTTTATTGTCTCATACGCCAGATAGGTGTAGATTTACAGGGTCAGCAATAGTAATACGGCAACCCTGGAGCAAATATGGTAAGGGCCTTGATCAAGGGTACATCGACAGATTCTTTACCTTGTCGGCTCAGTATCCGAACCAGCAACATTTTGGTTATTGGCCCAACGCTCTAACTTATTAGGTTTTGCTCTGTTTTTCTTTACTGTCAGTGATTGGAATGGCTATACGGGACAGTGCATGACACATTAGGCAGTATGTCCTACATTTATAGAGTAAATTAATTACTAACTACTATAACAAACAGTATTTTACACTGAACAGGAGAAGTTGCCTTAGTGTTTCTTTGTAGCTTTTTTCATAAAGGTGAGGTGGAGTGAAAAACTTAATTTAAAAGAGAACAGACACTGTGTTGAAGGTGTATGTTTACCCACATGAAGAAATACTACAGTTACATTTTAGCAGACGATCTTATCCAGAGCAACTTACAGTTAGTGAGTGCATATATTTTCATACTGGCCCCCCGTGGGAAACGAACCCACAACCCTGGCGTTGCAAGCGCCATGCTCTACCAACTGAGCTACAGGGGACTAAGTTTACTGTAGAATACTCCAGTACTTACTATAGAATTCTATAGTAAACTGTAGTATACTGTAGAATACTATACTACACACTATAGTATCCCCCTGTAGTACTTACTATATAATTTTGTAGTATACTGTAGAATACTATAGTAAATACTACAGGAATGTCTGCAAAAACACTACAGTTTTTTAACTATAGTAAACACTACAGTATTTAATTTGTAATAATCCTCCAATATTTCTCCAGTAGGTTTTGTCAAGGAGAAAGCCTCCACTTCTATGTCAAAGATAATGAAACAAAAACACTGTAGTAAATACTACAGTAATGTCCGCAAAAACTCTACAGTAGATGCTACAGTATAGTACAGTCCACAAAAAACACTAGTGAATACTATAGTATTTTCTCATGTGGGTAAGTGTGTGTGTGTGCACGTGTGTGTGTGTGAGAGGCCAGTGTAGGAGTATTTTGAGGAATCAGAGCGGACAGGCAGGGATAAAGACAAGCCCAGAACACATAGTTTTTGGCCCTGGGGCTCTGTCTCCTGTCAGCTGAAAACAACACCACAGAACACAGTTACTGTACGACCCCTCCATCACCTCTACACCCCACAGACAGACAGACAAAGAGAAGGAGGGAGGGAAGGAGCAGACGAGAGTATCTGCGCCAGTGGAGATCACATTAAAGAGGCACAAACACCTGTAACCACAGCCTAAGGTGTGTGTGTGTGTGTGTGTGTGTGTGTGTGTGTGTGTGTGTGTGTGTGTGTGTGTGTGTGTGTGTGTGTGTGTGTGTGTGTGTGTGTGTGTGTGTGTGTGTGTGTGTGTGTGTGTGTGTGCACATGCATAATTACCCAGCATTAGGAAGTGTTTGTGTCTAAATGTTAGGGAGCTTACTCAAAATGTCCGATAGTCACCTCTTCCTCATATGGTCTGATGATGTCATGTTTTTGTGTTTTTGTTTTGAAGGTATGGGAAGATTGTTTCCACCAAGGCCATCTTGGACAAAACCACCAACAAGTGCAAAGGTGAGAGTTCAGCAGGTTGTTTGGTTCATGACACAGATGCCACTTACATTTAACCTAGAAAGATAGTGTTAGTGTCTAGTGTTGTGTTGTTGACTGTGTCTCCTTAAACAAGCTCATGGACTTATGGACTCAAACTCGATCACAAATGTATTCTACAATATTAGATGGTATTAGGCTATATGATATAATATTAAAGTATTAGTCTGGTTACAGGTCTACTAATATACTGTATAAATCTATGAAGCCACATCCACTAAACTTTAGTCATTTTACAGAATGTCTTTAGTTAATCTAACAACCATTTTGAATTCCAATCTTACTTATCAATCATGAAAATGATGTACAAATTCATAACTTTAAGTAAAATGTGTGTATATGTGTTGTGTAGGCTATGGCTTTGTGGACTTTGACAGTCCGACAGCGGCCCAGAAAGCAGTGACCGCCCTGAAGTCCAGTGGTGCCCAGGCTCAGATGGCCAAGGTAAGACACGCACTGATTTACATCAACTCCACACACACACTTTATATATTCACAGTCACACATTATCTATTATAAACTCCTTTTTCTTTTATGAGTTCAATCACTACTTCAATGTGACTCCTTACTTCCTCACTTTCCTTATTTCATTGCCAAACCCATATGAAAAAATACTGTTGTATACTATGGAATAAATCATATAGTATTCACTGTAGTGTTTTTGCAGACTTTACTGTAGTATTCACTGTAGTGTATTTACTGTAGTATACTGTAGTATTTACAGTGAGCTATAGTAAAAATACTGTAGTAGAAGAAAACTTGTATATACTATAGTAATTAATGTACTGTTTTGCGGATTGTAGTATACCGTAGTATTTACTGTAGTGTTTTTGCGGACATTACTGTAGTATTTACTATAGTGTTTTTGTTTTATTATCTGTGACATAGAAGTGGATGCTTTCTCCTTCAGGAAACCTACTGGAGCAATACTAAAAGAGCAAATTTTCCATAACCTGTAGGTAGGACTGGGGTCTGAATGGATAGTTCAGCGGTTCTGCTCTTTTCAATAATCTGTAGGGAACACAATATATGATCTATACTTTGCATGTAGGTTTTTCACTTATGGGTGGCACAAATTGCAATATAGGGTAGTGGGCAGTGTATATGCAAATTAAATACTTTAGTATTTACTATAGTTTAAAAAGGGTCGTGTTTTTGCGGACTGTAGTGTTTTTGCGGACATAACTGTAGTATTGACTACAGTGTTTTTTTGCGGATAATACTGTAGTATTTACTATAGTATTCTACAGTATACTACAACATTGTATAGTAAGTACTACACATGATCGAGAGATACTACAGTGTGTAGTATAGTATTCTATAGTAAACTACAGTTTACTATATAATTCTTAGTAAGTACTGTAGAATTCTATAGTAAACTGTAGTATTTTTTTATGTGGGAATGTTCAGAGAACCTGAACTTTCTAAGAATTTATTTGATTTGATGGTGAATAGACAGTTAGTCCAGCCAAGTTGGCATCTACAGTGGGGGAAAAAAGTATTTAGTCAGCCACCAATTGTGCAAGTTCTCCCACTTAAAAAGATGAGAGAGGCCTGTAATTTTCATCATAGGTACACGTCAACTATGACAGACAAAATGAGATTTTTTTTTTCAGAAAATCACATTGTAGGATTTTTAATGAATTTATTTGCAAATTATGGTGGAAAATAAGTATTTGGTCAATAACACATTTTCTCAATACTTTGTTATATACCCTTTGTTGGCAATGACACAGGTCAAACGTTTTCTGTAAGTCTTCACAAGGTTTTCACACACTGTTGCTGGTATTTTGGCCCATTCCTCCATGCAGATCTCCTCTAGAGCAATGATGTTTTGGGGCAGTCGCTGGGCAACACGGACTTTCAACTCCCTCCAAAGATTGTCTATGGGGTTGAGATCTGGAGACTGGCTAGGCCACTCCAGGACCTTGAAATGCTTCTTACAAAGCCACTCCTTCGTTGCCCGGGCGGTGTGTTTGGGATCATTGTCATGCTGAAAGACCCAGCCACGTTTCATCTTCAATGCCCTTGCTAATGGAAGGAGGTTTTCACTCAAAATTTCACGATACATGGCCCCATTCATTCTTTCCTTTACACGGATCAGTCGTCCTGGTCCCTTTGCAGAAAAACAGCCCCAAAGCATGATGTTTCCACCCCCATGCTTCACAGTAGGTATGGTGTTCTTTGGATGCAACTCAGCATTTGAGTTGAGTTTTTACCAAAATGTTCTATTTTGGTTTCATCTGACCATATGACATTCTCCCAATCCTCTTCTGGATCATCCAAATGCACTCTAGCAAACTTCAGATGGGCCTGGACATGTACTGGCTTAAGCAGTGGGACACGTCTGGCACTGCAGGATTTGAGTCCCTGGTGGCGTAGTGTGTTACTGATGGTAGGCTTTGTTACTTTGGTCCCAGCTCTCTGCAGGTCATTCACTAGGTCCCCCCGTGTGGTTCTGGGATTTTTGCTCACCGTTCTTGTGATAATTTTGACCCCACGGGGTGAGATCTTGCGTGGAGCCCCAGATCGAGGGAGATTATCAGTGGTCTTGTATGTCTTCCATTTCCTAATAATTGCTCCCACAGTTGATTTCTTCAAACCAAGCTGCTTACCTATTGCAGATTCAGTCTTCCCAGCCTGGTGCAGGTCTACAATTTTGTTTCTGGTGTCCTTTGACAGCTCTTTGGTCTTGGCCATAGTGGAGTTTGGAGTGTGACTGTTTGAGGTTGTGGACAGGTGTATTTTATACTGATAACAAGTTCAAACAGGTGCCATTAATACAGGTAACGAGTGGAGGACAGAGGAGCCTCTTAAAGAAGAAGTTACAGGTCTGTGAGAGCCAGAAATCTTGCTTGTTTGTAGGTGACCAAATACTTATTTTCCACCATAATTTGCAAATAAATTCATTAAAAATCCTACAATGTGATTTTCTGGAGAAAAAAAATCTCAATTTGTCTGTCATAGTTGACGTGTACCTATGATGAAAATTACAGACCTCTCATCTTTTTAAGTGGGAGAACTTGCACAATTGGTGGCTGACTAAATACTTTTTTCCCCCATTGAACCACAAAAAGCATAGACGGTGTTCATGCAAACGCACTCCCTCCAACATTCCCAGTGGTATCAAAGGTGAGCTCTTATACTGTACAGTATGTTGTTATGGCCTGAATGGTGATAAGTGTCCTCTTGGCACCATCTCAATATCTTTATTAACTGGCAGTTGGCTGGCAGGGAGAGAGGGAGGGTGAAGAGGTCACAGCATTCGAGGAGAACAGGAAGGCTATCAGATGGAACTGGTTGTTTCTCCTCCTCTTCCCACTCTTTCCTCTTCCTCTCCTCTTCACCTCTATTCTCACATCTCCCCTGCCCTTTTTCACCCATCCCTCCCTCCCTCTTTCCCTCCTCCTTTGTGTGGCTGGCTATATGTGTGTCCTGCTAAGCGGCCCCTGCTGTGGGCCTTGTCCTGAGCTCTTTGTGTGGGTGTTTGCAGTCAAAGGGGCTGTTGTGAGCCCATTAAGCTGATCCCTCTGTGCCTCTCAGGCTCCCCATTGAGAGGGCCCCGGGAAGGGTGCCACTGCACCCGCTGTCAATGGGACGGGGACAATGAGCTGGCCTGTGCCTGCCTGGGTTTGTATCTGAGCCTGGGGGCGACACTATAGGGCTACAATCACTCCACCCCAGCCCTGCAACAGGGTCCAAGTCACTTCACTACTACAGAGTGAAGATGGACCAGCACAGGAATTAATACACTCACTTCAGAATTAAGACAGACGAGCGATGCAACTGAATATCAGGGTCCACCAAATCACTCCTCCTGCTACCCAGATATTGTATCCAAACACTCACTGTAATAGAATTTAGAACACAAGAGCCTAACTTACATAAACAGTATAACTGAGGAGTTGGTAGTGGCCAAAACAGAGGAGAGTGCCCTATAAGAAGTCAATTTGGGCCTGTGAGCTACAGTGAGCTACTCTGCATCATAGCCTGGCCTTCTGACCTGGGCTTAGGGGTCGTTAAGTTACCCAGGTATAACTCAGTCTCTGATTAAAAGGCTAGGAGAAAACCACAGATACTGACACTGGTGACCACCCCGATTTTTGCATCTCTGATTTAAACAGTGTCTGTCTAAATCTGAAATCAGACACTAAAATCGAATATTTTGGCATTAGTCAGGTTCTTTCCTTGTACTGTCACTGAATGTGGGTCATGTTGTTTTCATGTTTCCAGTGTGTTGGTTCTTTAACAGTGTGGGCCATGCTGAGCGTTATCATAACTCCCAGCCAGTCAGTCATCTCTACAGAGGAGTGTCTATGGGGCTGGCTATGGGGCTGCCAATGGGGCTGTCTATGGGGCTGTCTATGGGGCTGGCTATGGGGCTGTTTATAGGGCTGGCTTTGGGCTTTCTATGGGGCTGTTTATGGGGCTGCTATGGGGCTGTTTATGGGGCTGGCTATGGGCTTTCTATGGGGCTGGCTATGGGGCTGGCTATGGGGCTGGCTATGGGCTTGGTGGGGAGGGACAGGGAAACAATGGAAAGTGTTATAAATCAACAGCTCTTTACTTTACTAGAGAGCCTTCCTTTCTGCGTACAGATGTCAGCTTACACTCACCACCTGCCTGACACACACACACACACCAGCGTGTCGCCGTAGATGCACACTGAGCAAGACTCCGGGGTTGTGTGTCACCAGGGGAGAGAGAGAGAGAAAAAAGAGAGGGAGAGTTGGATAAAAAGAGCGAAAGAGCGATGAAGAGATTACATTTCATTTGTGGTGTGCTTGGGTGTTGTCCAGACATCATTTGAATATCAGCATCAGAGGAACCTTTTAAGAGATGTTGGCCCCGCATGCAGAACAGGATTAGATAGATCAGTCAGTCTTATCTATGTGACTGGTCACAGTGCCACTGAGTTGTGTAACAAGGAAGTGTTTCCTTAACCACCAATGTGGTTTAAATCCCAGAAATTGAACTTTCCCTCACATTGAATCCTGGTTAATTTAAAGAGCTTTCTATCTCGTGGGAGGCCAGGCCAATCACTGCGAGACAATGAGAAGTGTTTCAGGATGCTGTGTGTTGACACGCTTCAGTACCATAAATCCACCCAGGAATTGCTCATTGTCAGATCAACAGAGTGACAAGCATGGTACAACACCCAGCTCAACTCCTGCTGAACTCCCTGTGCAAACTGAGCGTGCGTCCCAAATGCACCCTATTCCCTATGTAGCGCAATACTTTTGACCTCAAACTGAAGCTTCAGGAGGCAGCTACCTGTGTTCTTCGGCTCTCCTGTCTGTTTGACTCAGGTTCAAGCCGACTCTTTGCTTATGGATCAACAGAGATAAGTGTGGAATTACTGGTCTGTTGATGGAACCTATATTTTGGCTCGGTTTCTGTCCTAATGGAGGGAGATGGAAATGGAGGGAACAGCGGGATGTATTGTAGTCATATGGGGTGGTGTCAGTTGTGTTGGTGGTGTTTTTGACTGGTGGTGATGAGGTGTATGTGGAACTGGAATTTAGACTTGACTGAAATGCTAGCTTTAAACACTATATCTAAACCTAAGCTCATATCCTCTCAATTACTCCCTGGGGCATGAACCCGGTAACCTGATATTCACTATAACATTTCATAACAAGTTGTTGTTTCCTCGTGCTCTCTCAAATGTTGCATAAAACGTTTGTGAGAGGGAAAGAGAGACTGTGGGAATGACTGTATCAGGAGAGAGATAGACTATTGCATGAGACAGAGAAAAAAGACTGTGTACAGTCAGACACTTTTGTAGTTCCTCCCTCTCTCCTCTCTCCCACTGTACCCCCCTCTATTTTCTTTGCTCTTCCATTCTCCTCATTCCCCCTTGTCTCTCCCACACCCTATAGTTTTCTCCTTTACCTCCCTCAGTTACAGCAGATTGTCTGATAGAAGCACAACTCCTATGGACCCGGTTGCTAAGCTCCTGTTGTTGTGCGAACTCTTAACTTCACGCCTGGTTTCACTTTTGAGCCCTGGAATCAGAATCGTCTCGCATTCCTCTTTTATTCATTCTTCTGGTCTGGGCTCTTTTTCAGTCTTTCCACATTTCCACATACTTTTCCTCCATTAAAATGCTTACATTTTCTAGTAGTTGTATGTGTTTTTAAGAGGTGAAAAGTGCTCTTGTACTCACAAAAGCACTCACATACAACCCACATTCAGTCATAAACCACTGACAATACTAATTTGTTATATCGTATATCTTTCATAACCATGACGTCACAAATATATCTAACAGAATTTAAACAGTGAATGTAAAACCTCTTTGTTTGTGATTACACACTGTGAGTCTGATTTACCCTGTCTGTGTGTTTTCCTTATGCAGCAACAGGAGCAGGATCCCACCAACCTGTACATTTCCAACCTGCCTGTGTCCATGGACGAGCAGGAGCTGGAGAGCATGCTCAAGTCCTTCGGCCAGGTCATCTCCACACGCATCCTCCGCGATGCCAACGGGACCAGCCGTGGCGTTGGCTTCGCCAGGTACACAATACATGCTACACTAGCAGCATCTTTAGCAACATGCTACATGCTACACCTGCAGCTAAAACTACATGCTACAATAGTAGCAGTGGTGTAGTAGAGGGTATACGCAGGTATATGGCGTATACCCACTTTTTTTTCATTGGGCATTGCGTATACTCACTTCTTAATCCCCAGGATGCGTATCAAAGTAGTGGAGTGGAGGTATATGTTATATCAGTTAATAAGGCCTATGGAACAGATCAGAATGTTTAGCTTAACATTTTGATAAACTATTATTTCTTCACATTTTAAGCACAGCAATGTGCACACGGCATTATGCCTAAAGTACGCGCAAATGTTCCAAAACAGGAATGTTCCAAAATGCAATTTGTGGGAAAAATATGTTCTAAAATGCGCACCGCACATGCGAGCTGTTTCATGGACAGAGATAGGAATATCCGTTAGAAAATTTGGAAGATAGGAGATCTAAATATGCAACAACTATTATGGGTTGCTAATATGACTAGGATAATGCCTTTGCCTGCTAGACAAGGCCTAACCGTCTTCTGGTAGATAGAAAGGTTTTCCCAAAAACCTTCTCAATTAAATGTTAACTAGCTACAAAGTAGCCCACCTGGCAGAATTATATGATTATTAGCATCAATCCAGTTGCCATTTGTTGTACAAACTCCATCTCATATGAGCTACAGAAACACCGCCAACCAAACAACAGTGCTAGGTGCCTGCACACTTGAATTAAAGGGTAACTACACTAAAAAATCTAAATTTCTTAGATTTTTCCCAGACCTCAAAAGTGGTCTCCTGATGTGGTTAAAGCATTGTTGTGGAATTTTGTTGTTTTTCTATAAAACAAACTGTGAATTTATCTAGGCTTCCATCCAATTGGCGAAAGATTTTCATGCGAATATTCGAAAATCTGCATAATAAAAACAACATGTGAATTTTCCCACCTGAGATGTGTTTCCATCAAAATGACTTGCGGGTAAAAGGCTGTGTGCACATAAACATTTATTTTGCGGTTCAATTCCGATCATGTACCGAATAATTCATCGTAACTTATTTCATCTGTAGCCTAATAAACTGCATGCTTTCCCGAGTCGAAATGGGAGGACCACACAACATGTAATCGCGTGACTCCAAGTTTACTTCAATATGATAGTTGTTATATAAATATTGGCTCATAAAAGCGTGTCCACCACCTTTTCTCGCATAATTAATTTTATTGACACAAAATGACACACATTGTCTAGCGTACTTTGTTTTTGTTGACAATTGGGAAGTTTACCGACAAATTTGTGGTTTCCATCAGGCCTTTACTCATATAAAAAGGTTGGATGGAGACCTGGTTATTGAGAGCGAAAAATAATAATAATGTAAAATCAGAAACCTGTGAATTTCTGACTCAGTTGACAGGCTCATTTATCTATTTCAATAGTAGGCCTAATATTAGCCTACTTGCACAGTACAGGTTTTTTGGCAAATAAGAGTATACCCACTTCTCCAGGCACCACTACACCACTGATTATCAGTCATAGGTTGGGGAGAGTGGGCTAAGTTGAACCAAAGGGGTAAGTTTAGCCACCCTTGTATCTAGGAAAGCATACTGAAAATTTATAATTTGACCAAATATTTTGGAAGAGGTCATTATTTCATGGAGTCTATGAAAGAAGAAACCACATGGAACAAGCTCCCCCACAACGCCAGGACAGCGGCGTCACTGACCACCTTCCGGAGACACTTGAAACCCTACCTCTTTAAGGAATACCTGGAATAGTCCCCCCCCCCCCCCCCCCATAAAAAAAAGTGGTTGTCCCACTGGCTATCCTAAGTTGAATGCACTAATTTGTAAATCGCTCTGGATAAGAGCATCTGCTAAATGACTTAAATGTAAATATAAAAAAGTGGTAAGCAAGTTAAGTCCAAAAAACTGATTTTCACCAAGTCAAATGCATTTATTGTGTTAGAGGTTTTATGATGCTTGTATCTAAACCAAAGTAGATCGTTTTAAGATTGTTCTATACATCAGTTGGGGTCTCTATAAGCTTCAATATGAGGTCCTAAACAGAATTAAAGTGCATCCTTGTAGCCAAGGCTATAAATTAGCATTTTTCATTGGTAACACTGTTGCTCCCAACTTTAAAAAGTTAGGAGCAGCACATGAAATTTAGGAGCACCAGAAAATGAGATTTTTTGTATTGATTGAGATACAACCTACATTGGGCTTATATGAATACTAGCTACTTTTGAATTACATGTTGTGCACTAGAAACTAATATGTAACACTGTAAAGACATTCATTTATTATAAAAGCTAAAATGTTGATACGAATACCTGTTATTGAAATTATAAAGTCGTTTGTGGTATATTAGGTTTCTACATTTTGTAAAAGCACAATTTTCCTAAGGAGATGCATTACATTGACAATTGTACACTGTCTCTTTAAAAATGTCAGGCTTGTGATGTTGACATGTAAGAGATCTCTCATTCATTCATTACTATGATCATTGATCTCCTGAAGAAGCTAACCATCACACTACCATCGCCATGCTTGACCGTTGGTATGAGGTTCTTACTGTGGAATGCAGTGTTTGGTTTTCGCCAAGCATAATGGGACCCATGTCATCCAAAAAGTTATACTTTTGACTCATCTGTCCATAGAACATTGTTCCAAGAGTCTTGATGATCATCCAGGTGCTTCCGGGTGCTTTTTGGCAAACTTGAGTCAACTTTTTGGACGACATGGGTCCTAATGTTCCTAATGTTTTGTACACTCAGTGTATTTGTTAGAAATAATACTATATTTCTCCTGACGGAGTGATGCTGAATGTTTAAAAAAAATCAACTTACCCAACTCTTCCCTACATGCTATATCAGCAACAACAGGGGTCACACTAGGGTCTCTCTAATGCACTTGAATGTTTGACTGTGTTTCAGGATGGAGTCCACAGAAAGGTGTGAAGCCATTATTCAAAATTTTAATGGCAAATTCATTAAGACTCCACCGGGAGTTCCAGGTGAGCAGATCTCTCTACCTGTCTCATCTATGTGTTCTCCACCAAGCCCAGATGTTATGATACCACCTCAGTCATTCACTTCAGATGGCAAATCAAGAGCTGTGTCCAGAAACAATCGCTATCCCCTACCCCCTTCAAATGTGTGGAGATCTGAGAGGATTGGACAGGTATAAGCAATATGGCACAACTTCAATCTAGCCTACACTGTAAAAAAAATCTAGTTGTTTAAACTTAAGTAACTGGTTCCACTGTCTTTTTTAAGTTTACTAAACTTTTCTGTCAAAATGTTACCTGAATTTAACATTTTTAGTTGGCCCAAACTTAGTTCCAACATGAGAAAACATAGGCAAAAATTATGTCAACTTAAAATGTGTTTGCTCAATTTGTCTCGTCTGTTCATTCAACTATAAATTATTATTTTGGAATTTTACCCCACAAAATGGATGTGGACCTAGTTACACACAGGCAGTGCTTATAACATACAATGTTTTCAACTTACATTTCTGATACACGTTGACACAAAGTCTTTTGTTTTAGGTAAGATGCCAAAAATGATAATTTCTAGTTCAATGAACATACGGTACAAGACAAATTAAGCAAACACATCAGTTTAAGTTGACATCATTTTTGCCTACGTTTTCTCATGTTTGGGCCAACTAAAAGTGTTATGTTCAGGTAACACTTAGACAGAAAAGTTTAGCAAAGGAAAAAAAGGCTGTGGAACCAGTTACTTAATAACAGTTAGTTTACATTTCTAGATTTGTGGGTGTTTCAGAGGTAAAGGTGGAGCTAACACCATATTGCTTAAACCTATCAAATCCTCTCATATCTCCACACGTATCTAGAGGTTAGTAGTCTCAGAAACCCAGACCACTAGGTCTGGGGAGGATGTCTGATTCTCTTGGACATTTCGAAAGAGGAAAAACATTTGTTCCGGCGAATGTTCTCTTCAGACAGACAACTCTCCCAACAAATCACGAGTTTGGGTAGGTGGGGCTTCAAATGCGGGCAGGAATTGTGCTCATGTTTAGCTAGGGAAAAGTCTAAGTGGGATCCTTACATCACCCTATTGAAGTTGACATTTTTAAACGGTTAAAGGGTTAGGGTTAGGTTGTGATTGTGGTTAAGGTAACTTTAAGCATCAGTTGTCAGAGCAGCTTACCGACCACTGCACCTGTACACATCCCCATATTGTTATTTATTTTTCTCATTTGCATCCCCATATCTCTATTTGCACATCATCTTCTGCACATCTATCATTCCAGTGTTAATACTAAATTGTAATTATTTTGCACTATGGCCTATTTATTGCCTTAGCTCCATAACTTACTACATTTGCACACACTGTATGTAGATTTTCTATTGTGTTATTGACTGCACGTTTTGTTTATCCCAAATGTAACTCTGTGTTGTTGTTGTTTTTATCGCACTGCTTTGCTTTATCTTGGCCAGGTCGCAGTTGTAAATGAGAACTTGTTCTCAACTGGCTTACCTGGTTAAATAAAGGTGGGAAAAAAAAGTTAGGGTTAGGGTTGGGGTTAAGGTTAGGGTTTAGGGTATGGACGTACCAAGGATCCCACTTAGCATCTGCCATTTCGCTAGGGCAACAAGCGGATACGGCAGTGACGTCACCGGTGACGCATGTCCCATTTCCGACACCTCCTCTCTGTCCCAACTGATGCCGGAACTTCTAAAGACATGTAAACTGGAGCATTGGTACATTGTTGGAGGCAGCCCATCTGTCTAGAGCGACTAAGAGGCTAGGGGCTGGGGGTTTTGTCTGAACAGGACCTTGGTCTCTGATCCCAGGCTCCTGGCATTACTCCTCAACTCTTCCTGTGGATTGTTATTCCTAGCCTCCCATGGAATTGACCCTCTGATTTCGTCTGTTTCTCTCTCCCACAGTGCCCCCGGAACCATTATTGTGCAAGTTTGCAGACGGGGGACAGAAAAAGAGGCAGAACCAGGGGAAGTACATTCAGAATGGCAGGCCCTGGGCCAGGGATGGAGAGATGGTGAGGGGATTGATTACACGGGTGGAGGATTTCATTTATTTCTTTTTTGGAGTTCGAGACTGCATGTTAGTTCCAAAAAAACTTTAAACAAGAGGTCATTGTCAAAGCAAGATAGAGCTGGAATCTGATCTCACAGAGATATGGATTGTGTGTCTAACCCTAAACATTCTTAAAGGGGCAGTGCAGTTAAAAACATTGTTTAATGATATTTCCACACTACAAGGTCAAAATAACACTCTGAAATTGTGAAAATGATAATGCCCTTTTTGTGTAAGAGCTGTTTGAAAAAAATGCCTGAAATTTCAACCTGTTCAGGTGGGATGGAAATGTTGGCTCACATCATGACGTTGCAATGTGATCTGATTATAATATACCAATGACTGTCCATCTGGGTAAGGGGGTGGGCTCTAGACCATCCTATCAGCGAATCAGCGCTGACCAGCTGGCAAGTGTCGTTACTGCCATTTTCAACCTATCCCAGACCCGGTCTGTAATACAAACTGGGATAGTCCCCGTGCCCAAGAACGCCAAATCAAATCAAATCAAATTTTATTTGTCACATACACGTGTTTAGCAGATGTTATAGCGGGTGTAGCTAAATGCTTGTGCTTCTAGCTCCGACAGTGCTGTAATATCTAACAAGTAATATCAATTTCACAACATAAACCCAATACACACAAAACTAGTGAGGAATGGGATTTAAGAATATATACATATATGGACAAGTAATGACAGAGCGGCCTGGACTAAGATACAGTAGAATGTTATAGAATAGAATACAGTATATACAAATGAGATGAGTAGTGTAAACATTATTAAAGTGACTAGTGTTCCATTTCTTAAAGTGGCCAGTGATTTCAATAGGCAGCAGCAGCCTCTAATGTGCTAGTGATGGCTATTTAACAGGCTGATGGCCTTGAGATAGAAGCTGTTTTTCATTCTCTCTGTCCCAGCTTTGATGCACCTGTACTGACCTCGCCTTCTGGATGATAGCGGGGTGAACAGGCAGTGGCTCGGGTGGTTGATGTCCTTGATTATCTTTTTGGCCTTCCTGTGACATCGGGTACTATAGGTGTCCTGGAGGGAGGTTAGTTTGCCCTCTGTAATGCGTTCGGCAGACTGCACCACCCTCTGGAGAGCCCTGCGGTTGTGGGCGGTGCAGTTGCCGTACCAGGCGGTGATACAGCCCGACAGGATGCTCTCAATTGTGCATCTGTAAAAGTTTGTGAGGGTTTTAGGTGCTAAGCCGAATTTCTTCAGCCTCCTGAGGTTGAAGAGGCTCTGTTGCGCCTTCTTCACCACACTGTCTGCGTGGGTGGACCATTTCAGTTTGTCGGTGATGTGTACGCCAAGGAACTTGAAGCTTTCCACCTTCTCCACTGCGGTCCCGTCGATGTGGATAGGGGGGTGCACCCTCTGCTGTTTGCTGAAGTCCACGATCATCTCCTTTGTTTTGTTGATGTTGAGTGAGAGGTTATTTTCCTGGCACCACACTCCCAGAGCCCTCACCTCCTCCCTGTAGGTGGTCTCGTCATTGTTGGTAATCAAGCCTACTACTGTTGTGTCATCTGCAAACTTGATGATTGAGTTGGAGGCGTGCTTGGCCACGCAGTCATGGGTGAACAGGGAGTACAGGAGGGGGCTGAGCACGCACCCTTGTGGGGCCCCAGTGTTGAGGATGAGCGAAGTGGAGATGTTGTTTCCTACCTTCACCACCTGGGGGCGGCCCGTCAGGAAGTCCAGGACCCAGTTGCACAGGGCTGGGTTCAGACCCAGGGCCTCGAGCTTAATGATGAGCTTGGAGGGTACTATGGTGTTGAATGCTGAGCTATAGTCAATGAACAGCATTCTTACATAGGTATTCCTCTTGTCCAGATGGGATAGGGCAGTGTGCAGCGTGATGGCGATTGCATCGTCTGTGGATCTATTGGGGCGGTAAGCAAATTGAAGTGGGTCTATGGTGACAGGTAAGGTAGAGGTCATATAATCCTTGACTAGTCTCTCAAAGCACTTCATGATGACAGGTGAGTGTTACAGGGCGATAGTCATTTAGTTCAGTTACCTTTGCTTTCTTCGGTACAGGAACAATGGTGGCCATCTTGAAGCATGTGGGAATAGCCGACTGGGAAAGGGAGAGATTGAAAATGTCCATAAACACACCAGCCAGCTGGTCTGCGCATGCTCTGAGGACGCGGCTAGGGATGCCGTCTGGCCGGCAGCCTTGCGGGGGTTAACATGCTTAAATGTCTTAATCACGTCGGCCACAGAGAAGAAGAGGCCACAGTCTTTGGTAGTGGGCCTCATCAGTGGCACTGTGTTATCCTCAAAGCGGGCGAAGAAGGTGTTTAGCTTGTCTGGAAGCGAGACATCGGCGTCGGCGACGTGGCTTGTTTTCTTTTTGTAGTCCGTGATTGTCTGTAGACCCTGCCACATACGTCTCGTGTCTGAGCCGTTGAATTGCGACTCCATTTTGTCTCTATACTGATGTTTTTCCAGCTTAATTGCCTTGCGGAGTGAGTAGCTACACTGTTTGTATTCTGCCATATTCCCAGTCACCTTGCCATGGTTGAATGCGGTGATTCGCGCTTTCAGATTTGCACGTATGCTGCTGTCTATCCACGGTTTCTGGTTAGGGTAGGTTTTAATAGTCACAGTGGGGACAACATCACCTAAACACTTCCTGATAAACTCAGTCACCGTTTCAGTGTACAGTGATCCCTCGCCACTTCGCGGTTCACTTATCGCGGATTCGCTATTTCGCGGATTTTCATAATGCATTTTTTTTTTTTTGGTGCATTGTGCTCTGCATTCTGATTCGCTAAAAACTCACTCCCGCTTCTTGTATCAAAACATGCTACGAATTGTGCTATCATTTTGTCGTCTCGTGCAGTTATGTGTACGTACATAAAACAGCTTGGCAAATTTACATTAAGTTGGCCAAATTATCTTGTAATTTCGAACATCTCCTAAACCCATAATGTCGACGAAACGGCCTGGACCGACAAAAGCACCTGCGGATGGGCCCAAACGGCGGAAGATGCTACCTATCTCAGATAAAGTTAAACTTCTGGACATGCTAAGGGAAGGTAAAAGCTATGCAGCCGTTGCTCGCCATTACGGAATCAATGAATCTTCCGTTCGTTACATAAAGAAGGAGGAAAAAAACATAAGGACGACAGCAGCAGTCAATGAGGAGGAAGGACTAACGCTTGGTCGCTTAGCAACCATGGTGCGAATGGCCACTGAACTTAAGCGAGTAGCTGAGGAATGGGACCCTTTGATGAGCCGTTCATTACAGTTCTCCAACGTAATCGATGGTGGCATGTCGGTGTACAAGGATCTTTTTGCAAAGAAGAAAAAAGAGCGACAACAGCTGCCTATCACTATGTTCTTCTCCCGAACAAACACACCTGCACCGCGGGCTTCAGAAGAAGAGAACACTGCAGAGCGCAGTCAGGATGCAGCGGCCCAGTCTGAAGAGCAGTGAAACGGCCTACACGTGAGTCACTGTATTTGTATACATGTAATAGTTGCTAATTGTAAAAAAAAAAAAGTTTTCTATTTCGCGGATTTCACTTATCGCGGGTCATTTTCGGAACGTAACCCCCGCGATAAACGAGGGATTACTGTATACGTCTAAATTATTTTCAGAAGCTACCCGGAACATATCCCAGTCCGCATGATCAAAACAATCTTGAAGTGTGGATTCCGATTGGTCAGACCAGCGTTGAATAGTCCTTAGCACGGGTACTTCCTGTTTGAGTTTCTGCCTATAGGAAGGGAGAAGCAAAATGGAGTCGTGGTCAGATTTGCTGAAAGGAGGGCGGGGGAGGGCCTTATAACCATCACGGAAGTTCGAATAGCAATGGTCGAGGATTTTAGCAGCGCGAGTACAACAGTCGATATGTTGATAGAACTTCGGCAGCCTAGTCCTCAAATTTGCTTTGTTAAAATCCCCGGCTACAATAAATGCAGCCTCAGGATATGTGGTTTCCAGTTTGCATAAGGTATCTTGGGAGATAATACCGTCGGCATTTGATTGTGAGATATTCAAGGTCCGAGTGCCTCTCCTCCGCCGGCGATGTTTTGGAGGTAGAGGCTGTTGATTGCGTGTGCTAGCGGGCCGGTGCGAGCAGATGGATCTTCGTGGTCGTCGCAATGGGAAGCCTGTTGAAACCACATCAGACGATTACGTCAGCAGACCAGTCATGATGGATCGGCGGGGCTCTGTGTTGACACTAGGAGGTCCCGTCCGGTTGACAGAGAGGTAGATAGCTGGGAGATGGGCCTGGCTCGAGGCTAGCTCAAGGCTAACTGGTGCTAGCTTCGGGACAGTGGTGATTAGCCAACAACAACATCCATTCGGTTGCAGCTAGCTAGTTGCGATGATCCGGTGTTAAGGTCCAGTGATTCAGTGATTCCGGCAGAAAATCCGATATGTTCTGGGTCGATAGCGCGCTGTGCAGACTGTGCAGACTGGCCGATAATTGTCCAGGCTAGAGCTGGCTGGTAGGTAGTGCAGGCCACGGACAATGGTGAAAACCGCTAACGGTGGCTAATAGCAAGTAGCTAGTTTCAGCCGGAGGTTCTAGATAAAAAGGTATAAGTAATAATAGAATACGTTCCACATTGGCTGAGGCGGGTTGCAGGAAAGTATATTTAGTTGAAGGATGAAAAGTGACATTGAATGTGCAACCAGAGGAAAAAAACTCTAGACCACCTTTACTCCACACACAGAGACGCGTACAAAGCTCTCACTCGCCCTCCATTTGGCAAATCTGACCATAACTCTATCCTCCTGATTCCTGCTTATAAGCAAAAACTAAAGTAGGTTGCACCAGTGACTCGGTTAATAAGGAAGTGGACAGAGGACGCAGATGCTAAGCTACAGGACTGTTTTGCTAGCACAGACTGGAATATGTTCCGGGATTCTTCCGATAGCATTGAGGAGTACACCACATCAGTCACTGGCTTCATCAATAAGTGCATCGATGACGTCGTCCCCACAGTGACTGTACGTACATACCCCAACCAGAAGCCATGGATTACAGGCAACATCCCCACTGAGCGAAAGGGTAGAGCTGCCGCTTTCAAGGAGCGGGACTCTAACCCGGACGCTTATAAGAAATCCTGCTATGCCCTCCGACGAACCATCAAACAGGCAATGAGTCAATACAGGACTAAGATTGAATCGTACTACACCGGCTCCGATGCTTGTCAGATGTGGCAGGGCTTGCAAACTATTACAGACTACAAAGGGAAGCACAGCCGCGGGCTGCCCAGTGACACAAGCCTACCAGACGAGCTAAATCACTTCTATGCTCGCTTCGAGGCAAGCAACACTGAAGCATGCATGAGAGCATTAGCTGTTCCGGATGACTATGTGATCACGCTCTCCGTAGCCGATGTGAGTAAGACTTTTAAGCAGGTCAACATTCACAAGGTGGATTATCAGGACGTGGACTCCGAGCAGGCGCTGACCAACTGGCAAGTGTCTTCACTGACATTTTCAACATGTCCTGACTGAGTCTGTAATACCAACATGTTTCAAGCAGACCACCATAGTCCCTGTGCCCAAGAACACTAAGATAACCTGACTAAATGACTACCGACCCTTAGCACTCACGTATGTAGCCATGAAGTGCTTTGAAAGACTGGTCATGGCTCACATCCACACCATTATCCCAGAAACCCTAGACCCACTCAATTTGCATACCACCGCAACAGATCCACAGATGATGTAATCTCTATTGAACTCCACACTGCCCTTTCCCACCTGGACAAGAGGAACACCTACATGAGAATGCTATTCATTGACTACAGCTCAGCATTCAACACAATAGTGCCCTCAAAGCTCATCACTAAGCTAAGGACCCTGGGACTAAACACCTCCCTCTGCAACTGGATCCTGGACTTCCTGACGGGCCGCCCCGAGGTGGTAAGGGTAGGTAACAACACATCTGCCACGCTGATCCTCAACACGGGGGCCCCTCAGGGGTGCGTGCTCAGTCCCCTCCTGTACTCCCTGTTCACCCATGACTACATGGCCAGGCCAGGCACGACACCAACACCATCATTAAGTTTGCCGACGACACAACAGTGGTAGCCTGATCACTGACAACGATGAGACAGCCTATAGGGAGGAGGTCAGAGACCTGGCCGTGTGGTGCCAGGAGAACAATCTCTTCCTCAACGTGATCAAGACAAAGGAGACGATTGGGGACTACAGGAAAAAAAAGAGGACTGAGCACGCCCCCATTGTCATCGACGGGGCTGTAGTGGAACAGGTTGAGAGCTTCAAGTTCCTTGGTGTTCACATCACCAACAAACTATCATGGTCCAAACACACCAAGACAGTCATGAAGAGGGCACGACAAAGCCTATTCCCCCTCAGGAGACTGAAAAGATTTGGCAACGGGTACTGCATATGGCCCAGTACATCACTGTACCCCGTCTTTTACGCTGCTGCTACTCTGTTTATTATCTATGCATAGTCACTTTAACTCTACCCACATGTACATATTACCTCAATTACCTCGACTAACCGGTGCCCCCGCACATTGACTCCGTACCGGTACCCCCTGTATATAGCCTCCCTACTGTTATTTTATTTTACTGCTGCTCTTTAATTATTTGCTATTTCTATTTTTTTACTAATCTATTTATTAATTTTTTAACTGCATTGTTGGTTAAGGGCTTGTAAGTAAGCATTTCACTGTAAGGTCTATTCGGCGCATGTGGCAAATGACATTTGATTTGATTTGATTTGAAAGTGAAATTATGTTAGTAATTTTTTTTGAACAAATTATTTACAAATGAAAAGCTGAAATGTCTTGAGTCAATAAGTATTCAACCCCTTTGTTATGGCAAGCCTATATACACAACATTGCCAAAAGTATGTGGACACCCCTTCAAATTAGTGGATTCGGCTATTTTAGCCACACCCGTTGCTGACATTGGCAGTAGAATGGCTCGTACTGAAGAGCTCAGTGTAGATGCTCTACATATGCTCTAAAGACCCCGATGGTCACTCTGACAGAGCTCCAGAGATCCTCTGTGGAGATGGGAGAACCTTCCAGAAGGACAACTATCTCTGCAGCACTCCACCAATCAGGCCTTTATGGTAGAGTGGCCAGACGGAAGCCACTCCTCAGTAAAAGGCACATGACAGCCCGCTTGGATTTTGCCAAAAGGCACCTAAAGGACTCTCAGCCATGAGAAACAAGATTATCTGATCTGATGAAACCAAGATTGAATTTGCGCTGAATGCCAAGCGTCACGTCTGGAGGAAACCTGGCACCATCCCTACAGTGAAGCATGATGGTGGCAGCATCATGCTGTGGGAATGTTTTTCAGTGGCAGGGACTGGGAGACTAGTCAGGATCGAGGGAAAGATGAACGGAGTAAAGTACAGAGATCTCCTTGATGAAAACCTGCTCCAGAGCGCTAAGGACCTCAGACGGTTCACCTTCCAACAGGACAATGACCCTAAGCACACAGCCAAGACAACGCAGGAGAGGCTTTGGGACAAGTCTCTGAATGTCCTTGAGTGGCCCAGCCAGAGCCTGGACTTGAACCCGATCGAACATCTCTGGAGAGACCTGAAAATAGCTGTGCAGCGACGCTCCCCATCCAACCTGACAGAGCTTGAGAGGATCTACAGAGAAGAATGGGAGAACTCCCCAAATACAGGTGTGCCAAACTTGTAGTGTCATACCCAAGGAGACTCGAGGCTATAATCACTGCCAAATGTGCTTCAACAAAGTACTGAGTAAAGGGTCTGAATACTAATAATAATGTGATATTTCCGTTTTTCATATTTAATACATTTGCAAAAATTTCAAAAAAACGGTTTTTGATTTGTCATTATGCGGTATTGTGTGTAGATTGATGAGGAAAAAAACAATTTAATCATTTTTAGAATAAGGCTGTAATGTAACAAAATGTGGAAAAAGTCAAGGGGTCTGAATACTTTCTGAATGCACTATAGCTATCTCAATTACCTCGTACCCCTGCACATCGACTTGGTACTGGAACTCTCTGTATATAGCCATATTATTTTTGACTCGTTATTGGTATTCGTTATTCACTGTGTATTTATTCCTCGTGTCACTTTCTATCTGCATTGTTGGAAAATGACCCGTAAGTAAGCATTTCACTGTTAGTCTACACCTGTTGTTTACAAAGCATGTGACAAATAAACATTTATTTGATTTGGTGTGTGTATGGGTAAGGGGTGGGCTCTAGACCATCCTATCAGCCAATCAGGGCTGTGTATGTAAATGTATTCTAATTTGTTTCCTAACACCAACATGAGGAGACTGAGCATTTCAAGGACCAAAGGAGGCTCAGGGAATTAAATGATAGAAAATATATTTTTGAGTTATTTTCATTTAAACAAACACACACAGTGATTTATTAGACATACAGTGATGATTTTAAAATAAAATTACAAAGACTGCATGGGGGCTTTAACAACTATTTTTATATTAGATTTTTATATGTGATTGTGTCATTTATGTCTTTATTCTGAATGATTTGTGTTGTTTTCCCAGGGAGGGATGACGCTAGCATATGACCCCACAGCCTTACAGAATGGGTGAGAATAGAGACAAAAACAGAAATTCAGCCCACCAACAAAAACAAGTCATGTGTTTTGTCTGTGGTGAACTAGTGACTCCTGGTAGACGCAGAAGACATTGCAACACTACTTTATTTTATTGCAATCATCTACTTCAGTGTAACATTTTGTAGTTCAATCATTTGGCATCACTTTATAATAACTTTCATGCACATGCGATTATAAATGCTTATTAATGTTTATAAATGCTATAAAATAATCTGACAGTCATACATCTTGATTTGTGTGTGTGTTGTGCAGGTTCTATTCGTCACCCTACAGTCTGACCCCAAACCGGATGATCGCCCAGACGTCCCTCTCTCCCTACATGCATTCACCCGTCTCATCCTTCCAGGTCAAACACTGAACACACACACACACACATCACTACCACCACCACCAAACCACCATTCACAAATGCATGAAGGAGGACATTTCTGTAGACGTTGGAGCTATGTCATTGTTATTTTTCTATCCAGATTCAGATTTCATCTCCACTCATTCTCCCCTGTTTGTTTGTGTGTAAAGATCCAGTGTTTTCCTCCTCTCTCTCTCCAGCTACATAGTCCCTCCTGGATGCACCACCAGTCGTACCTCATGCAGCCTGCAGTGAGTATTATATAGTATTATCTACCTCTGCTGCTGCAGCTTCCTCCTTACTATTCCCTTTACATCTGGTTAGCTTGCTGTTCTGCTCATCTATCTCTCTATCTCTCCTCTTCTCTTTGTCATTCTGTCTCTATTTATATTCCTCTCTCTTTCTCTCTCTCCCTCTATCTCTCTGTCAATCTCTATAATCATGTCTCTGAATTATTGGCTATTTGTCCTTCTCTTCGTTGGAACCCCCCCCCCCCCCCCCCCCCCTCTCTCTTTATCCATCTCTCTCCCTCCACTTCTCTCAGTGTCTCACATACCCTTTTTCTCTCTCTCCTTCCCTTTCTCTCCCTCCACCTCTCTCCCAGGGCACAGTCCTGACTCCGACCATGGACCATGCCATGTCTATCCAGCCCACCTCCATGATGGGCACCATGACCCAGCAGCTCAGCCACCTATCCCTGGGCAGCACGGGCACGGTTAGTACCCTACAGATACCCACTCCACCTCCACCCTACACTCCCTTCAACTACCCACTCTACTACCCCACCCCCATTGAACTAACCTGAATTGAGTTAACGTGAATCGAGTTGTACTGATTTGCAGTTGAAAGTGAAGAGAAAATCAGTTGCCTGTGTCTCAGTTTGATCTCTACACAGTAATAATGACTGATGATTTCTTCTCCTCTCGTCCTGTCACAGTTTATGCCTGCCAACACAACTATGCAGGGGACATACATACCCCAGTACCAACCAGTGCCTCCCTCCAGTGTCCCTGTAGAGGTGAGCCCCCGACCGACACCATAAGCATTAACTATGCAGAACAAGTTAAGGGGATGACAAAAGGGGGTTTATTTTACAAAAGAGTTCAACAACCAATCAATTACTTAAGCAGTTTATAACTCAGCGACCTATTACTACTGTTCCACTCCATTTCCTTCCTTTTCTTGCAGGAGAACGGAGGACAACAGCAACAGGTTGCTATGGAGACACCTGCAGAACACACAAACTACTCATACCAGCACACCAAGTGAAGCTAAGGTAGGGTTATGTCAAACATCAGCTGTCCGGTGCCATCCTTGAGGCAAGGAAGACTCTTTCAATTCAGTTTGAAGTCTCAACCCCTCCCTGTACAGTCGTGGTCAAATGTTTTGAGAATGACACAAGTATTGGTCTTTACAAAGTTCGCTGCTTCAGTGTTATGAGATAATTTTGTCAGATGTTACTATGGTATACTGAAGTATAATTACAAGCATTCCATAAGTGTCAAAGGCTTTTATTGACAATTACATTAAGTTTATGCAAAGAGTCAATATTTGCGGTGTTGACCCTTCTTTTTCAAGATCTCTGCAATCTGCCCTGGCATGCTGTCAATTCACTTCTGGGCCACATCCTGACTGATGGCAGCCCATTCTTGCATAATCAATGCTTGGAGTTTGTCAGAATTTGTGGGGTTTTGTTTGTCCACCCGCCTCTTGAGGATCGACCACAAGTTCTCAATGGCATTAAGGTCTGGGGAGTTTCCTGGCCATGAACACAACATTTCGATGTTTAGTTCCCCGAGCCACTTGGTTATCACTTTTGCCTTATGGCAAGGTGCTCCATCATGCTGGAAAAGGCATTGGTCATCACCAAACTGTTCTTGGATGGTTGGGAGAAGTTGCTCTCGGAGGATGTGTTGGTATCATTCTTTATTCATGGCTGTGTTCTTAGGCAAAATTGTGAGTGAGCCCACTCCCTTGGCTGAGAAGCAACCCAACACATGAATGGTCTCAGGATGCTTTACTGTTGGCATGACACAGGACTGACGGTAGCGCTCACCTTGTCTTCTCCGGACAAGGTGTTTTCCGGATACCCAAACAATCAGAAAGGGAATTCATCAGAGAAAATGACTTTACCCCAGTCCTCAGCATCACTGACATGATGGCAGCTGGTCCTTTTGTGGCAGGGCTGAAATGCAGTGGAATTGTTTTTTGTGATTAAGTTCATTTTCATGGCAAAGAGGGACTTTGCAATTAATTGCAATTCATCTGATCACTCTTCATGACATTCTGGAGTATATGCAAATTGCCATCATCAAAACTGAGGCAGCAGACTGTGAAAATTAGTATTTGTGTCATTCTCAAAACTTTTGACCACGACTGTACAGTGGCTTGCAAAAGTATTCACCCCCCTTGGCATTTTTTCTATTTTGTTGCCTTACAACCTGGAATTAAAAGGGATTTTTTGGGGGGTTGTATCATCTGATTTACACAACATGCCTTCCACTTTGAAGATGCAAAATATTTTTTTATTGTGGAACAAACAAGAAATAAGACAAAAAAACAGAAAACTTGAGCATGCATAACTATTCACCCCACCAAAGTCAATGCCTTGTAGAGCCACCTTTTGCAGCAATTACAGCTGCAAGTCTCTTGGGGTATGTCTCTATAAGCTTGGCACATCTAGCCACTGGGATTTTTCCCATTCTGCAAGGCAAAACTGCTCCAGCTCCTTCAAGTTATAATATAAATAATATGCCATTTAGCAGACGCTTTTATCCAAAGCGACTTACAGTCATGTGTGCATACATTTTTACGTATGGGTGGTCCCGGGGATCGAACCCACTACCCTGGCGTTACAAACGCCATGCTCTACCAATTGAGCTACAGAGGACCAGCAATCTTTAAGTCATACCACAGATTCTCAACTGGATTGAGGTCTGGACTTTGACTAGGCCATTCCAATACATTTAAATGTTTCCCCTTAACCCACTCGAGTGTTGCTTTAGCAGTATGCTTAGGGTCATTGTCCTGCTGGAAGGTGAACCTCCATCCCAGTCTCAAATCTCTGGAAGACTAAAACAGGTTTCCCTCAAGAATTTCCCTGTATTTAGCGCCATCCATCATTCCTTCAATTCTGACCAGTTTCCCAGTCCCTGCCGATGAAAAACATCCTCACAGCATGATGCTGCCACCACCATGCTTCACTGTGGGGATGGTGTTCTCAGGGTGATGAGAGGTATTGGGTTTGCGCCAAAAAGCTCAATTTTAGTCTCATCTGTTTTAGTACCTTCTTCCATATGTTTGGGGAGTCTCCCACATGCCTTTTGGCGAACACCAAACGTGTTTGCTTATTCTTTTGGTTTTTTTCTGGTCACTCTTCCGTAAAGCCCAGCTCTGTGGAGTGTACGGCTTAAAGTGGTCCTATGGACAGATACTCCAATCTCCGCTGTGGAGCTTTGCAGCTCCTTCAGGGTTATCTTTGGTCTCTTTGTTGTCTCTCTGATTAATGCCCTACTTGCCTGGTCAGTGAGTTTTGGTGTGCGGCCCTCTCTTGGCAGGTTTGTTGTGATGCCATATTCTTTCCATTTTTTAATAATGGATTTAATGGTGCTCCGTGGGATGTTCAAAGTTTCTGATATTTTTTTATAACCAAACCCAGATCTGTACTTCTCCACAACTTTGTCCATGACCTGTTTGGAGAGCTCCTTGGTCTTCATTGTGCAGCTTGCTTGGTGGTGCCCCTTGCTTAGTGGTGTTGCAGACTCTGTGGCCTTTCAGAACAGGTGTGACACTTAGATTGCACACAGGTGGACTTTATTTAACTAATTATGTGACTTCTGAAGGTAATTGGTTGCACCAGATCTTATTTAGGGGCTTCATAGCAAAGCAGGTGAATACATATGCACGCACTTTCTGTTATCAATTTTTTTGAATTTTTTGAAACAAGTTATTTTTTTCATTCCACTTCACTAATTTTGACTATTTTGTGTATGTCCATTACATGAAATCCAAATAAAAATCCATTTAAATTACAGGTTGTAATGCAACAAAATAGGAAAAACGCCAAGGGGGATGAATACTTTTGCAAGGCACTGTATCTGCTAACTTAGTTTCAGTGTACAGGACAACTTATATGTTGTCCTTGCCTACTAGGTCCATGTCAGAACATTACATGTAGGCGCCAATTAATGTTATCACGGTTTACTAAAAAACAAAAGCTTGTCAGATATTGACCACTTTCAAAAAAACATGTATTTATTTATATTATGATTTACACAGATACATTATGATATGGAGAGTATGTAGACTTATTACATTTTGGATGTTACATCTATTATGTAAAAGGAGTAGCGTGACAGAGGTAAGTGTGTGTGTTGCAGCTCGTGGTCAGGAGGCCATGTTGCAGACTGAACCGCAGAGAGTTGGTTCTCTACAGGAGGATAGCAGAGCTCCGCACAACAACACCAAGCATCGGACTTGAACACGGATGAAAAAAGGAACACGTGTGTGCTTTGAAAAAGAAGACAATGCTTATTTCGTTGGGACTTTTCCTCTCTCTTCTTCAAGAGTCTATCAACCATAGGTGGGAGCCTTCTGCAATGGAAGCTTTGATCTCTTTTAATAACTGAAAAAAAGTAAATAAACAAAGAAGTTTAACAAAGAAACAAATTAGGAAAGGGATAAAGACAGAGCGTTATTTTTGGGCATGTAATATAACAAATTCTTCTTTTTTATTTTAAAGCATTCTGGAGTTTCAGAGTTATACAAGGAAAAGAGTAACAACACAATGTATCTTTAATTTTTGGATAAAATATGCAAACATTAATTTTAATTGTTTTATGTCTATTTTTGGACATTCTATTCACAGCAGTTGGACAATGTTTTGTACAGATTTTAAAAAGTAAATAAACACATTTAGTTGGTATAATATTTCTAGTATAGGCTACTTTTAAGAATGGAAAATGCTAAACAAACCGTTTAAAGCTACTTCTCCCTAAAACTGATCCAGTAAGGCAAAACTCAGTTAACTCACTGGCAGATGGTAACATTCATTATTTATAAATTATTTAAAATAATGTCAAACTTAAACCTTATTAAGCATTCCCTCATAAACACTCCGAATGTGTTATGAGCAGAGGACAATCATGATCATTCTTATTTATATGTACATCATAGTTCTATTTTCGGATATTTGGAAATATTCAAACATGTCACTTGCATATTGTGTAGATTTTATTTAATGAAATTCTTTATTTAACAAGTCCGGTAAAAGCCAAACACTGGCAATAAACATATTATCACTTATAAAAAATTCATAGGAGCTAAATGATATAAAAAAGTAAGCAAATCTGATATTGCTGTAAAACTTTGTTATGAGAAGAAAATTAACTAATGTTTATTTTGTTTATAATGTAATATGACACATCCAAATTTCACCTTCTATTTTAAAAAACTTGAGACAAAATGGATTGTCTGAAAGTTACAATAGTATTTTCAACATTGAATAAATGATTACTATTACTATACAATACAATAACAAGGTCCTCTCTCTACCTTCAAAGGTAAAGTAAGACAGTGCATAAAATGCAAACTCTTTTGACATTATTACCTACATTTATTAACTGCAACTATGCTTGAATTCATAGATAATATAATACATATTATACAAAGTAGTTGACCTGGTTTGCGTGTTGGGTGCTAGTGTCCATGTCACAACAGTGTCCATGTCACAACAGTGTCCATAAGAAGTGGTTTTAAGCGGTTTTGTTCTGGTAGCTGTTCAGATGTCCATAGTGAATTTCACCTTTTGTACAAAGTAGACAGACAAATAATTGTACATGCCTTAGATTTGAGCAGTTGGATTACTATGAAATATGTGTACAAAAGAGCGCAAAATAGCTAAAACAAATAAATTAAAAAGTAAAACAATGAGGGGAGTTAAAAGTAGGACTGAGAAGAGTCCTTAATAACAGTCCTTTGTTGTTGAGAAAGGGAGCTGCAAGTCTTTCTCAATGCTGCTGTTGTCTCCTGAATTTTAATTCCTGACTGTCAATGATTTTGGTTTTAATTTTTTGTAGAAAGAAGTAAAGTATGTTTTCTCTTTTTGGGCTTTCACTTGAACCCTTCTGAGCTGTCATGCGTTTTGTTGTTGTTGTTTTTCTAAAACATGTTTTTTATAAATTTATTTTCAGTAATCTAGATTTTAGAAGTAGGGAAATATCTTTCCAAGCGTTTTAGATGGAAGCTTTTTTTCTTTTGTAAGAGATTCATAGGATTTTTTTTTATTGTGTTTTGCATTTCAACATGGTCCATACAAATGAAGAGATTATTTAATGTTTCTTCAAGTTGATTTCTGTTCCAGAGCACTGTGTTGTTCACTATGATATTGTTTTTCAGGCCAGTGTGAAATAGTTTTTAACTAAAACGCATCCACATCTATCCTAGAGACACTAAATGAAACTCAATGACAACCATGCCACCTTGCCAACCAGCCCAGATCAGTCCATTGGAGATGTACATGTCTAGTGTAAACACATTCTATTGTATCTGTTAGAGAAAATGAGGACGCTACCCAGAAAACACATAACATAACATGAAAGTGCCATTAAAAACAAACTGTCCCATAACAAACTGTTCCACAGAAGTTAACTAAACCTTGGATGAATTCATTCTAGTTTTAACAAAGACAAACATTCGTAAAATTGGGGGGTTTCGTTAGGAATTCTGACCAGTGTTTCTAAGCCTTAACTGTAACCAGGCAGATCAGCCTTATTTTAGAAGAAGAACCCTTTCTCCTCATTGAAGGCAATTCCTTTTCAATCATGGTTGAGGGTATGGCCAAGAAAATATCATACAGATGCCATCAATCAGATGTCCCATGTAGCTCAGTTGGTAGAGCATGGTGCTTGCAACGCCAGGGTTGAGGGTTAGTTTCCCAAGGGGGGCCAGTATGAAAATGTATGCACTCACTAACTGTAAGTCGCTCTGGATAAGAGTGTCTGCTAAATGACGTAAATGTAATGTTATGTTGCCATAATATTATAAAGGGCTGAGTTTAACAATACCTTGTTAAAACCTAGTGTTACCCTAGTAAACATCACACTTGATCTCTGGTTTTTGACATTGTTCAGGTTTGATGACATCAAAGTTACTGTTTCTTCTTCATTGTCCATCTCTGTACCTCTCTCTCCGCCTTCCAAAAGGTTTTTTATGATTATTTATGTCTGCAACACCAAAGATTATGAAGCCATCCACCTGTCAGGAAAGCTGTCTGTCAGACTATCTATCTTGGAGACAAATGCTGCTCTCATCTCTATTGGCATACATAGCTAGAATGATGCTATAGGAACATACTTTCAAAGTGGCAGTACCCTGGTAGATGGTAAATGAGCAATATGTTTCCTTTAAGTTCTGAATATGTTGAGTGTTGAATAGAGATTCATAGATATGTGTGTGCTTCATTTTATCGACATATGCTTGTTTCAGTTTGATACATCCAAATAAAGACCAGTACAGTGGGGGAAAAAAGTATTTAGTCAGCCACCAATTGTGCAAGTTCTCCCACTTAAAAAGATGAGAGGCCTGTAATTTTCATCATAGGTACACGTCAACTATGACAGACAAATTGAGATTTTTTTTCTCCAGAAAATCACATTGTAGGATTTTTAATGAATTTATTTGCAAATTATGGTGGAAAATAAGTATTTGGTCACCTACAAACAAGCAGGATTTCTGGCTCTCACAGACCTGTAACTTCTTCTTTAAGAGGCTCCTCTGTCCTCCACTCATTACCTGTATTAATGGCACCTGTTTGAACTTGTTATCAGTATAAAAGACACCTGTCCACAACCTCAAACAGTCACACTCCAAACTCCACTATGGCCAAGACCAAAGAGCTGTCAAAGGACACCAGAAACAAAATTGTAGACCTGCACCAGGCTGGGAAGACTGAATCTGCAATAGGTAAGCAGCTTGGTTTGAAGAAATCAACTGTGGGAGCAATTATTAGGAAATGGAAGACATACAAGACCACTGATAATCTCCCTCGATCTGGGGCTCCACGCAAGATCTCACCCCGTGGGGTCAAAATGATCACAAGAACGGTGAGCAAAAATCCCAGAACCACACGGGGGGACCTAGTGAATGACCTGCAGAGAGCTGGGACCAAAGTAACAAAGCCTACCATCAGTAACACACTACGTAGCCAGGGACTCCAATCCTGCAGTGCCAGACGTGTCCCCCTGCTTAAGCCAGTACATGTCCAGGCCCGTCTGAAGTTTGCTAGAGTGCATTTGGATGATCCAGAAGAGGATTGGGAGAATGTCATATGGTCAGATGAAACCAAAATATAACTTTTTGGTAAAAACTCAACTCGTCCTGTTTGGAGGACAAATACTTATTTTCCACCATAATTTGCAAATAAATTCATTAAAAATCCTACAATGTGATTTTCTGGAAAAAAAATTCTCATTTTGTCTGTCATAGTTGACGTGTACCTATGATGAAAATTACAGGCCTCTCTCATCTTTTTAAGTGGGAGAACTTGCACAATTGGTGGCTGACTAAATACTTTTTTCCCCCACTGTATATGGTGTCTTTAATACAGAGAACAGGGAAAAGGGCCTACTTTGCTTTTTTAGTGTCAATGATGAGAGCTCAGCATTTATCTCTTTCTGTAAGTAATAGGACTATTTTATGTGCTCTTTTTGGTTGAGCTGATGTCAAGACCATAGTTATTTTCCTGTTTCCACTTCTGTTGAGTGTTTTGTGTGTCTTGTGATCTGGCCAGAAAATACAAACACGATCACTTGCAGGTTTTAAGCTACAGTGCACCTCATGAAGGAAAATGTGAGAATGTTGTGAGAATGTAGTACTAGTCAGGTAATCCATTATGTCATTATGATGAATGCTGTTAAAGTGATCCAAAATCTATATTTGTCAGTCGTCTTCAGACCTCAAAAGTAGTCTAATGTCGAGATGACTCCATCTGTTCTGTAGATCCAAATTTAGATTTTGGAGTGAACGATCACTTTAAGTTACACTCTCCACAATTAGCTGTAAATCATTGTCTGAGAGAGCACGCTTTAGGCTATTGTATTTTCCTTGCTGCGTACCTTTGACAGGTATCTTATAATACTACGGAAAAATACTAAAAACAGGATGTGCAACAAATGTTGAACTTGCACTTATTTTCAATCCATGTTTATGTACATGAAAACCCTAATACCTAGCATTCTCCTGTCCTCACTTGTTGTCCAGATCATGTAGCTTCAATGGCTTATGTCATAGTTTCATAATGTTTTGCTGCTAAAATGGGATGTCCAAGCAGCGGATAGATGGGAGACAAATTGGATGTTCAAAAATGTCTTACTTAAACCTAGTAGATCGGATTCAAGTATAGTTAACATGAACACATTTTTTATTCTATTTTAGACACATTTCGTGAAAGTTGTACTCTGAGATAACGCGCTATTTGATAGTTGTTTTGGAATCTCTTCGGTAATTCGCCAACTTTGTGTAAAAAATCTGACATTTTGAACATACAACTGCCTCGTCTCTCGCACTGCTTGTAAACATTTTCCTTATTTATACAAGAACACATTTTGTACAGTTTGTTAGAGGAGAGAGGTTTTGATATTTGGTTAGTTTGCTAGTTAGCTGGTTAGCCACTCGGCTACTTTCGTCTTCCTGTGCCAGAGATGCTCAAGTAACTCTTGTTTTTTATTCATTTAAAATATATTTTTTGTTTCCTTTCTTTCTTGGTTTTACACTTTGAATTTGAATATGTCAATTTTCTTTTTTAATAAAAATAATCTTGTTTTTAATGGTTGTATTCCAAAACAGTTATGGGCCAATTTCTAAGAATACAATGGGGAAAAAAGACAAGTCAATTACATAAATACCAAGTTTATTTAAGTGTTGAGCAAATCATATTATGTTTGTTCAATATAAATGTTTCATGTGGTAAGAAAAGTGTTTGATACCCATGAAAAGGGTGCAAGCTCCTTTCTCTTTAGGTGATCATAGTAATACCCCAAAATAATTTTATTGACCAAGCCTTGACATTGTAATAATGCTACTGCATTCAAAAGGCCATACATTGACCTCTCAGATAAGTCACAATAGAACTTGCAACTGATAAACCAATTTTATCATCTAATATGATCGTTCATTACACTTCTTCCGTTTTGAATTGAAGTGATTCTGTATGTATCTTGGTATGTATCTGTGTAGCTAAATGCTACCCCTACAAGATACAGAGCCTTCATGTCCATATAGAAACCACTCTAACCACATTGTAGTCTCAAACTTTATCTTGCCATTCCTGGAACCTTAGGAATATATACACTACCGTTCAAAAGTTTGGGGTCACTTAGAAATGTCCTTGTTTTCGAAAGAAAAGCCATTTTCTTGGCCATTAAAATAATATCAAATTGATCAGAAATACAGTGTAGACATTGTTAATGTTGTAAATGGCTATTGTAGCTGGAAACAGCTGATGTTTAATGGAATATCTACGTAGGCGTACAAAGGCCCAAAATCAGCAACCATCATTCAGCACAGCTGAAAACTGTTGTGCTGATTAAAGAAGCAATAAAGCTGGCCTTCTTGAGACTAGTTGAGTATTTGGAGCATCAGCAATTGTGGGTTCGATTACAGGATCAAAATGGCCAGAAACAAATAACTTTCTTCTGAAACTCGTCAGTCTATTCTTGTTCTGAGAAATGAAGGCTATTCCATGCGAGAAATTGCCAAGAAACTGAAGATCTCGTACAACGCTGTGTACTACTCCCTTCACAGAACAGCGCAAACTGGCTCTAACCAGAATAGAAAGAGGAGTGGGATGCCCCGGTGCACAACTGAGCAAGAGGACAAATACATTAGTGTCTAGTTTGAGAAACAGATGCCTCACAGGTCCTCAACTGGCAGCTTCATTAAATAGTACCAGCAAAACACCAGTCTCAACATCAACAGTGAAGAGGCGACTCCGGGATGCTGACACCTGTTCTTTCCATGACATAGCTTTCACCTGATCAGTCTATGATCTCTTATTGATATCACTTGTTAAATCCACTTCAATTAGTGTAGATGAAGGGGAGGAGACGGGTTAAAGGATTTTTTGCCTTGAGACAATTTTGTGTGCCATTCAGAGGGTGAATGGCCAAGACAAAATGCCTTTGAACGAGGTATGGTAGGAGGTGCCAGGCGCACCGGTTTGTGTCAAGAACTGCAACGCTGCTGGGTTTTTCACACTCAACAGTTTCCTGTGTTTTCAAGAATGGTCCACCACCCAAAGGACATCCAGCCAACTTCACACAACTGTGGGAAGCATTGGAGTCAACATGTGCCAACATCCCTGTGGAATGCTTTCGACACCTTGTAGAGTCCATGCCCTGACGAATTGAGGCTGTTCCGAAGGTGTTCTTAACATTTGGTATACTCAGCGTATCTCTCTATTATGTGTGGGAATACTTTGGAAAAGTTTTCCAAAATTAAAAGATTGTGTTTTTACAGCCTATGTCAAAAAAAGTAAATAAATAAAAAAATCACCAGTGGGCCGCCAGTTGGGGAACCCTGCCCTAGTCAGTATTAGCTTAGGGCTCTATTCAATCTGTATTGTGGAAGTTCAGCACTAAAGACCAATTTAAATTTAAAGGCAATGTTCCCTCGTTGGAGGAGACTGCATTCACAATAAATGCTGCATTTGTCGGCTCAATCGGAAATTACTTTAAAATGTATATTGCGCAATTTGTAACGCTTCAGCGATCCAGATTGAAAAGAGCCCCTTAATGCTGTTTATCTTTATTTGCTTTCATAAACATAAAAAATGACATAAAACAGAACAGAAGATACACTATTTAAGAGCTCTTTAAGTAAGGGCCAGGTATTAGCTCAGCATAAATAAAGTAAGGTGAGGTACAGGTAATCTTGGCACCTAGAACCGAATCTTGTGTGCTCGCTTCCCAGCTACTCAATTGAATGGTAAACAGTCTGTCACGACATGAGACGTATCCTCTTTTATTGATCACAGAAGAGCCAGGGTCGTTTGAGAAGAAGACCGAAATGAAAGAAGCTCTTAAGTTCTAAGGTTGAGGGAGATTGAGCTGAGTGTAAAGAGAACACTCCCATGTGGTCCAAATGAGAAATAGACAGATTGAGAGACAGACGGTTAGACAGATAGATAGAAGAGTTAGTCACGGCTCCCTCCAAAACACGACAGTAGGAAGCTGAACAGGTATATAATGTCCAGGTAGAGGTTCAGGGTGGCAAAGACGTACTCCTCTGGACTCATGGTGTAGCGCTTGTTACCTATCAGCAGCTGGGTGTCAAACGCCAGGAACTAAGAGAAAGAGAGAGAGAAGTAAAATAATAAAATAATTATGTTTTATTGTCACATACACCAATTCGCTACAGACTGTAACCAAATGATTAGGGCCAAGAGTTTGTCCTGACCACATAACCTTGATGAGGAAAAACTCTGGGCCTTCCCAATGATGAATGTGTGTTGAATATCTGCCACTCACCAGGGTGAAGAGGATAGCTCCTATAACAGCGTAGATGGCTTGTAACCAGGGAACCTGGGGGGGTAAGAATGTTATTGAACAGCGCTAAGAAGATACAGGCCACTAATTTAGGAAAGACACTGGGGCTTTTCCAGATCATCTATGAGATTAACTGAAAACCCTTCAGCTAATCCTTCTTATTCATGCTAGTATGCTACCCACCCAAATAGGGTGAGCGAGGGCCAAAAGCCTTACCGTCACTCTATATATAAACTCACTGTCAGAGTCACAACTATTCTTATCGCGGTTTGGAAAGGTACGCACGGCCATTACACCATCAATACCTAGTTCTGCTTATGTAAAGTGTCAACTGTAATATAAGCTGATGGAAGCTAAGCAGACAAGACAGGCTACTTACATATCCAAAAGGGATGACGATGGAGAGTATGATGCAACAGTACAGCATGACCATGGTTAGGACAAACAGGACTCCCTGGTAGGAGGTGAAGTCAATCTACAGTAAGAAACAAGGGAGAGAGAATAATGGTGTGTTGTTAAAATGCACTCATGATCAACATGGTTTAATTTCTTCAAAAGAAAACAATGTTATGAAGATTGGGTCATTTTTCTCACCTTGGTCTGGAAGCTGAAGATGGTGACAGACATACACACCACAGCAGTGATGCCCAGACAAAGGACCACAGACTTGGTGTTGTAGAAGCTGGAGAGTAGAGACAGACATGAATTAATTAGTAATAAAGAAATAACACTTGCTTGTCTTTTCCTACTTGCACTGACTTTGCTGATAACTACTTTAAATGAGGAAAAATGTAAGTACTATGACTGTGATATGTGGTTGTCTCACCTAGATATCTTAAAATGAATACACTAAGTCGCTCTGGATAAAAGTGTCTGCTAAATGACTAAAATGTCAAATGTAGTCATCCTCCCCATCCATGTAGATGTTGATAGATGTGTTAATTCATTCTTATTTTCATACATAATTTATTTCAACATATGTTTCTAATTGGGCCAGGAGTTTGATCGGTTCATGTGACCTGGTCAGGAAAAACTCCTAGCCCCACCTATGTCAACATTTGAGTCCCCAAATCAACCCTACCCACACATGAAACACATTAGTTAGTCATTTACCTGGACACAAAGCCCATCATGCAGGCCAGGCTGAGAGTCTGGGAGCAGGAGAGAGGAAGGCATGCAGACAGAACAGAGATAGGTATAGAGCAGAGTCAATGAGGTGCACAGACAGACGGGAAGGGAGAGTATTGGGTACATGCTATTCTCTTGAATTTGTCTAATATTTGTTTCTCATTATACTCACAAAGAGAGCCAGCAGAATGAGGTTCCAGGGAAACTGCCTCCTGTTATAGAGATAAAGAGAATTCAGGTTGTTAAATTCACTATAATATTGCATTTTATCATTCTACCATCATTGCATGCCTACCATTTACTATGGATGATCACAACCATAATCTATGAAGGATGTTATAAATACCTTATTAATGTGTTTTAACTGTTTAATGCATGTGTAAAGTGTTGGTGTTCATGCATATTAAAACTAAATTTAACTATTTGATTTATTGAACAGCCCATCTGTTAAGATGTGATGTAAATGCTGTGTACTACCCAGATTGTAATTTTCATAGGAGTGAAACTATTACCTGATTTGTTCACCACAGCAGTTCAATGCGATGTAGGTGGCCAAGAACATCATGCTGTCGAAAAGCAAAAAGAAACCAGTTCATTATTAACACAATTACATGGCTGAATTCCAAAACACCCCCTTCCCCTCACCCCTCAATTTGCACGTTCACGCGCGCATCCGCTGTATGCACAAGTGTCCCAAAGCTGAGGGAGTGAAAGTTATGGAGGGTGTAGGGGCTAATTGGGTCGTTCCACGAAATGAGTGTCTTTTGCCTCGCTTTGATATTTTAAGTAGAAATTGTGTACTAATATTGAGTTTTGAAAGCCTATTATATTAAATGAAGTGCCCTTTAATATAGACCACATGGATAATGAAATCAATCTAATTTGTAAATGAATAAAACCTTGCTGAAGTGCCAAGATTCTGCATTTTGACATGTTCCTCTGTGCACCCTCTGTGACTTCTAGGAACATTTTTACCCGCTTAATTTAACTCCAAAATGTCTACAAGTTTTCACCATAATTGTAAAGCCCTAGTTATTTTGTAGCTTTGACAAAGTAATTTCTGAAGATTCTTTTTTTATGTGATTAGTGATTAATTTACGTCTGTCCACCCTGTTACTTGAGCTGAACTCTCGTTTTAATATGGTGAAACTATTCCCTTTTAAGTTTTTTTCAAAAGAAACATTGAACATGTAATAGTCAAATCATAGTGTAAAAGCAGGTGAGCTGGTTCTACTATTTTTGCCCATTTGCTGGTGTTTTGTGGTGAAAGACTGAGCGGGTCGAGCATAACATGTCAACCCTGTTAAGCATAGATAGACAGGCTAGAAATGTTTTAACAATAAATAAATAAATAAATAAAATGGTGAAGCTTGCATTCAATTGCCACTCCCTGTTCCACACAACAAGCTTCCATTCCCTCTGTCACAAGGGGATTAATGGCTGATTTATGAAATCTTCAACCCTGTTACGGTCAACCCTGTTATTTTATTTGACACTTAATAGGCACTTACTATAGTTTTTTTGTATTTAACCCTTTTGAGATGGGAAAACTAGTTTTTTGATTAAGTTAAATATGCTTTTTATGACAGAATGTTAAAATCAGGTGAAATCAATTTCTTTTTTACCAAGTTACACTTCTCAGAAGGCACCGAATTGGTGGAACAACCCAATTAGACCATTCTATAGCCACTTCGACCGAGTCAGCTATGCTGCTGGCTTCAGAGCAAAGTGGTATCACATATAACGCATCGCATTATTTTTGAGTTTGCGCAATTTCACACAAAAGAATGGAGAGGCGTGCCTAATTCTGAGTCACCTGTATATGTTTGTCAGATTACGAGGCTTGACACATAACATATGAAATACCTCCCAAATTAAATGTTTAACTGCTACTGAGGTTTATATCTTGTAAAGCGACAGGGGACATTTTCTCATTTGTATTTCATGCTTGTTTTATTATTTAAATGTGGAACATGAATTGCATCATTCAAGTCACTAGTGTTGTTGGTGGGTTTATTTGGTCCCCATGCCACTTGAAGTCACCCTATAAGATCCGCCAGCAACACGTGACAATGGAGGCCCCTGCGAGCGAGTTGGTAGGGGCTAGGGGCTGGTTTGGGATTCACCATCTGATGAAAAGTGAGGGCATGTCAATCAAGATGTTTGTTGTCACTTACTAGGAGCACATGTACAGGTGGGGGTGTGTCTGAATGTAAAACCTCACTGGTGCACTGTGGAGAGATGAGAGAGTGTTACACTATGTAGAGTACACACACACACACACACACACACACACACTTGTTTTGTATATATTTACAATGTAATGGATATGATGCATACCAGAATGTGAAGACAGCAACAATGGCCACAGTCACAAAGAGTTGGATCATCAGGATGGCATAGACCTATAAGGATACAGAGAGGAGGAATGAGAGGGGACGGCACAGATACACCCTCAGTATACTATACTTCATGCTAGATCATGCATGGGTGACATGATTAAAGAAGTCAGTGTAGCTCAGTTACAGTAATATTATTATCTGGATCGTATTTATTTGGGCACACAGTGGCAAAACGTTTTGCAACGGAAAACGAAAACGAGTGTTTCTAATTGGACGAGTGTTTCTTATAAGTTCAGGTTATTCCTCCCTGTTTCAGTACCTTTCTGATGAAGATTCTTCTGATGGCCTGGTCGTCCCAGGAGAACTGGGTTTGCATCTCCTCATAATCTGACAGGGAGGGAAGACAGAGGGTTAAAAATCTTGTTGAAACAGCAGATGTGTAACAGGTGTGTAAGGATTCACCCCTGACCTCTGGTTACATCACACGCTACAATGTTCGTTCCTGCCCATCTGTCTTTGTTCTACAGTAAGGTGTGTGTGTGTGTGTGTGTGTGTGTGTGTGTGTGTGTGTGTGTGCGACCGGATGTACAGTCGTGGTCAAAAGTTCTGAGAATGACACAAGTATTGGTCTTCACAAAGTTTGCTGCTTCAGTGTTTTTAGATATTTTTGTCAGACATTACTATGGTTACTGAAGTATAATTACAAGCATTCCATGAGTGTCAAAGGCTTTTATTGACAATTACATTAAGTTTATGCAAAGAGTCAATATTTGCGGTGTTGACCCTTCTTTTTCAAGACCTCTGCAATCCGCCCTGGCATGCTGTCAATTAACTTCTGGGCCACATCCTGACTGATGGCAGCCCATTCTTGCATAATCAATGCTTGGAGTTTGGACAAACAAAAACCCACAAATTCTGACACTCGCCTCTTGCGGATTGACCACAAGTTCTCAATGGGATTAAGGTCTGGGGAGTTTCCTAGCCATGGACTCAAAATGTCGATGTTTTGTTCCCCGAGCCACTTAGTTCTCACTTTTGCCTTATGGCAAGGTGCTCCATCATGCTGCAAAAGGCATTGTTCGTCACCAGACTGTTCTTGGATGGTTGGGAGAAGTTGCTCTCGAGGATGTGTTGGTACCATTCTTTATTCATGGCTGTGTTCTTAGGCAAAATTGTGAGTGAGCCCACTCCCTTGGCTGAGAAGCAACCCCACACATGAATGGTCTCAGGATGCTTTACTTCTCCGGACAAGCTTTTTTCCGGATGCCCCAAACAATCGGAAAGGGGATTCATCAGAGAAAATGACTTTACCCCAGTCCTCAGTAGTCCAATCCCTGTACCTTTTGCAGAATATCAGTCTGTCCCTGATGGTTTTCCTGGAGAGAAGTGGCTTCCTCGCTGCCCTTCTTGACACCAGCACATCCTCCAAAAGTATTTGCCTCACTGTGCGTGCAGATGCACTCACACCTGCCTGCTGCCATTCCTGAGAAAGCTCTGCACTGGTGGTGCCCCGATCCCGCAGCTGAATCAACTTTAGGAGACGGTCCTGGCGCTTGCTGGACTTTCTTGGGCACCCTGAAGCCTTCTTCACAACAATTGAACCTCTCTCCTTGAAGTTCTTGATGATCCGATAAATGGTTGATTTAGGTGCAATCTTACTAGCAGCAATATCCTTGCCTGTGAAGCCCTTTTTGTGCAAAGCAATGATGACGGCACGTGTTTCCTTGCAGGTAACCATGGTTAACTGAGGAAGAACAATGATTTCAAGCACCACCCTCCTTTTAAAGCTTCCAGTCTGTTATTCTAACTCAATCAGCATGATAGAGTGATCTCCAGCCTTGTCCTCGTCAACACTCTCACCTGTGTTAACGAGAGAATCACTGACATGATGTCAGCTGGTCCTTTTGTGGCAGGGCTGAAATGCAGTGGAAATGTTTTTGGGGGATTAAGTTAATTTTCATGGCAAAGAGGGACTTTGCAATTAATTGCAATTCATCTGATCACTCTTCATAACATTCTGGAGTATATGCAAATTGCCATCATAAAAACTGAGGCAGCCGACTTTGTGAAAATTAATATTTGTGTCATTCTCAAAACTTTTGACCACGACTGTACACTACCAGTCAAAAGTTAGGACACACCTACTCATTCAAAGGTTTTTCTTTATTTTCACTATTTTCTACACTGTAGAATAATAGTGAAGACATTCTATCTGTCTAACCGTCTGTCTCTCAATCTGTCTATTTCTCATTTGGACCACATGGGACTGTTGTCTCTTTACACTCAGCTCAATCTCCCTCAACCTTAGAATTTAAGAGCTTCTTTCATTTCGGTCTTCTTCTCAAACGATCCTGGCTCTTCTGTGATCAATAAAAGAGGATACGTCTCATGTCGTGACAGACTGTTTACCATTCAATTGAGTAGCTGGGCAGCGAGCACACAAGATTCGGTTCTAGGTGCCGAGATTACCTGTACCTCACCTTACTTTATTTAGGCTGAGGTAATACCTGGCCCTTACTTAAAGAGCTCTTAAATAGTGTATCTTCTGCCGAGGCTGCCTCCCCTCCTTGTTCGGGCAGGCTTCGGCGTTCGTCGTCACCGGCTTACTAGCCACTGCCGCTCCATTATTCCACTATTCTTGTCTTGTCAATCACACACACCTGGTTCTTATCCCCTCATTAGTCTGTGTATAAGTGTTCCCTCTGCCGCCCTTGTCCTTGTGGGTGATTGTTTATTTGTGAGAGTAGTGTAGCTCGGTGGAGCTACTCGTACCTTGTTATTGCTGGGGTAGATATTTCCCCTGTGCCTGTTTCGTTTGTCGCTATCCAGCGCTATTTGTTTACAACGGATTCGTACATTCGGATATTACCCTCCTGCACCTGACTCCTTCTATCACACTCATCACAGAATCACCCACCCGCTATGGAGTCAGCGGGAGAAGAGCGCATGCCTGGAGTCGTGGCACAGGTCCAGGAGCATTCCACAATGCTGGCCAGCTTGGGGGAAGCGATGGATCGGGTTCTTCAGGTCATGCAACGCCTGGAGAGGAGAGGACCAGATCTGTCGAGACCAGCTGGCCAACCGGATCCAGCCACCTACACCCCAGCACCCAGAGGGATCCAGATATCCCGACCACGGGCGTTCGACGGGACGGCGGTGCTCTGCCAAGGATTCCTCCTCCAACAGGAGCTTTACTTCTCCAGCATCAGGCCGACGCCATTGGAGCGGGAGAAGGTGTCCGTCCTCGTTTCCTGCCTCTCGGGGAAAGCCCTGGAGTGGGCCAACGCGGTTTGGAACGAAGGAGGAGCCGCGTTGGAGGACTACGGGGAGTTCGCTCGCCTTTTTCGGGCGGTCTTCGATCATCCGCCCGAGGGTCGAGAGGTGAGCGAGTGGCTGGTCCACCTGAGGCAGGGGACGAGGACCGTGCAGGACTTCGTGTTGGAGTTTCGGACTCTGGCAGCGGGGTCCGGGTGGAACGAGCGGGCCCTGATCGACCATTTCCGGTGCCATCTGCGGGAGGACTTCCGACGGGAGCTAGCCTGCCGGGACAGCATGTTGTCTTTCGCGAAACTGGTGGACATGGCCATCGGTTTGGACAATCTGCTGGCAGCCAGAGGACGTCCTGGTAGGGGTATGCCCGTTTCCACCCCGGACGACTCGGATCCTGAGCTGATGGAGCTGGGTGGAGCCGCCGTCCGAGAGAGCGGAGGACGACAGCGACAGTGCCACTCTGGTGGCACGAAGGGACAGTACACCACACGTCGTAGTCAACGCTCTTTTGGGCCTGGAGGCGGCAGGCAGGGCACTCTCGCATCACCCCAGGTATCGAACACCCACTCTCATTCAGGGGGCCTTCAGTACCTCGTGGAGTGGGAGGGGTACGGTCCGGAGGAACGGTGCTGGGTCCCGGTGAAGGATACCCTCGATCCTTCCCTGTTGCCGGATTTCCACCGTCACCATCCGGCTCACCCTGCTCCACGTCCTCCTGGCCGTCCCGAGGCCGGGGTCAGCGTGCTGCTGGAGCTGCGCGTCAAGGCAGGGGTACTGTCACGACTTCCGCCGAGGCTGCCTCCCCTCCTTGTTCGGGCAGGCTTCGGCGTTCGTCGTCACCGGCTTACTAGCCACTGCCGCTCCATTATTCATCATTCCATTTGTCTTGTCTTGTCAATCACACACACCTGGTTCTTATCCCCTCATTAGTCCGTGTATAAGTGTTCCCTCTTAGTCTGTGTATAAGTGTTCCCTCTGCTCCCCTTGTCCTTGTGGGTGATTGTTTATTTGTGAGAGTAGTGGAGCTCGGTGGAGCTACTCGTACCTTGTTATTGCCGGGGTAGATATTTCCCCTGTGCCTGTTTCGTTTGTCGCTATCCAGCGCTATTTGTGTACGACGGAATAAACTCTGCATTCGGATATTACCCTCCTGCGCCTGACTCCTATCACACTCATCACAGTTCTGTATTATGTCATATAGTATATATATATTTATATATACATACATACATACATACATACATACACACACACACACACACACACACACACACACACACACACACACACACACACACACACACACACACACACACACACACACACACACACACACACACACACACACACACACACACACACACACACTACTGTTCAAAAGTTTGGGGTCACTTAGAAATGTCCTTCTTTTCGAAAGAAAAGCATTTTTTTTGTCCATTAAAATAACATCAAATTGATCAGAAATACAGTGTAGACATTGTTAATGTTGTAAATGGCTATTGTAGCTGGAAACGGCTGATTTCTTTTATGGAATATCTACATAGGCGTACAGAGGCCCATTATCAGCAACCATCAGTCCTGTGTTCCAATGGCACATTGTGTTTGCTAATCCAAGTTTATCATTTTAAAAGACTAATTGATCATTAGAAAACCCTTTTGCAATTATGTTAGCACAGCTGAAAACTGTTGTGCTGATTAAAGAAGCAATAAAACTGGCCTTTTTGAGACTAGTTGAGTATCTGGAGCATCAGCAATTGTGGGTTCGATTACAGGATCAAAATGGCCAGAAACAAATAACTTTCTTCTGAAACTCGTCAGTCTATTCTTGTTTTGAGAAATGAAGGCTATTCCATGCGAGAAATTGCCAAGAAACTGAAGATCTCGTACAACCCTGTGTACTACGCAAACTGGCTCTAACCAGAATAGAAAGAGGAGTGGGAGGCCCCGGTGCACAACTGAGCAAGAGGACAAATACATTGGAGTGTCTAGTTTGAGAAACAGACGCCTCACAGGTCCTCAACTGGCAGCTTCATTAAATAGTACCCGCAAAACACCAGTCTCAACGTCAACAGTGAAGAGGCGACTTCGGAATGCTGGCCTAGGCAGAGTTGCAAAGAAAAAGTCCAGTGTCTGTATTCTTTTGCCCATCTTAATCTTTTCTTTTTATTGGCCAGTCTGAGATATGGCTTTTTCTTTGCAACTCTGCCTAGGTCAGCAACCCGGAGTCGCCTCTTCACTGTTGACTTTGAGACTGGTGTTTTGCGGGTACTATTTAATGAAGCTGCCAGTTGAGGACCTGTGAGGCGTCTGTTTCTCAAAGATAGGGCTATCTTCTGTATACCCACCTACCTTGTCACAACACAACTGATAGGCTCAAATGCATTAAGAAGGAAATAAATTCCACAAATTAACTTTTAAGAAGGCACACCTGTTAATTGAAATGCATTCCAGGTGACTACCTCATGAAGCTGGTTGAGAGAATGCCAAGAGTGTGCAAAGCTGTCATCAAGGCAAAGGGTGGCTATTTGAAGAATCTCAAATATATCATGTATTTTGATTTGTTTAACACTTTTTTGGTTACTACATGATTCCATATGTGTTATTTCATAGTTTTGATGTCTTCACTATTATTCTACAATGTAAAAAATAGTACAATTAAAGAAAAACCCTTGAATGAGTAGGCGTGTTCAAACTTTTGACTGGTACTGTAGAAGAAGAAGACCACTGCATAATGTAGCCATAAAGGTGCCCATTGATAAAGGGAATGAGATATTCCTGTGCAACTGACTAGTTGAGATACATAGATGTTTTGTTATTACCTGCAGTAGCCTCTTCATAGCTGGGTGGGTACTCTTTGCCTGTCTTTGGAGCCACCTGAAGATATGGTGAGATACACAAATGGTCAGAGATACCAGTCTTTAGAAGTAGTATCAAACTGAAAGATACCTTTAATAAACACTAACAAAAACTTCAAGAAACACTTCACCCTTACAGGGCCGGCTCGCCCTAAACACGGATCACACTCTGCACTTGATCGCTAGGGGCCCTCCAATTTAATTACATTTATGGAAAACACTTAGGCTATGGATGAAAGTTTGAATAGTAGAATACTCAAAGTGTACATTTGAAATTTAGTAGTGCATAAGCAGGTTTCCTCTTGTGATGTATCGTATCTGAAGATTATGCCTTTGTTAAATGTTTTTCATGAAGAAATGGAATGGTGTTTATGTTAGTATCAAGAGGGAATGTTTTAGGTGTGACGTCATATACAGCAGACCGGAAGTGTGTTGTAGACAGGGGAGACTGGTGATTGGCCAGAAGAGGGAGCTTCATTGGTTATAAATAGGGGGGTTAAACGAAGAAGAAAGTGAGAGCGAGCAGCCATTCGGAGGCGTCGCTCCCCGGGTGTCATGTCACCTGTCATTTATGCTGTAACCTCGTGATTTTAATAAAAGCCTCTAACACGATGCAGCATAACGGACTCTTTGTTGACAGCAATAATGGCCACCATTCATCCGATACGACAGATGTCAGTCACTGAGTGACATAGCCATGAAGCATGGCTTGAAATTGACTAATGTTCTCAAGTCATGTTTTTTGTCCTTATAAAAAACGGCTTTTCGCAAGAGGTGGAGCGGGGGCACCCAACCAAATCTCAAATGGGGCCCGCAAAAGGCTAGAGCCGGCCCTGCACTCTTATAACATAAAACTCACTTCAACCAACTCAACTTCTTTCAACTCAACTTCCTTTTGCTGCTATAAGACAAAATGGCCAGGTGAAGGATAACAGTTGAAGGTTAACAATTGATGAACTTGATATATTGTATTCTATGATTCTATTCATGCATTCAACTCCTCATGATCCCCTGATAATCCAGATAGGCTACATGTAGAGGCTTGTATCAGTGTAAACAAGCCTCCATGTTTCATCAGTGTTTATGATAGGATAAGGATTAGGATACTCTCAGTAGGCATCCATCTTAGTTTTGCCAACTTATGCTGCGTTCGTAACCAAGTGGGAGGTGAGAATTTACCAATTGTGAAGTCATAAATACCAGTTGGATGCATTCACATGCTTTGAACTCATTGAGAAATGCAGATTTACTAATGGCCACAAACTGCGTAAACCATAAACTAAAAGTACAGCTGTCATTCTTGTAAAAAAAAGATCATATTAATAGCTTGCTTTTTATAAATAATGTTTTGTCGTTGCATTTAACTGCTGAAAATGCTGTTATCTCATCATTTCCTTAGTTGGTGATGTCAGAGGTCAGCATGTGGGAGAAGTGAGAGCTCAGGATGATAGATGAGTTTCCCACTAGTAATTACCAGTTGGAGGGCCATTCAAGTGTATTTTTCCCAGTCGTATGTGGTAAATTCCCACTTGGTTATGAACGCAGCAATAGATGGTGCATTCCTCTGCCCAGGCGTTGCTGACGCATGCCATATTTTACAACGCCTGGATAGGTATTTAATATATAAGTTAACCACATATTATGTTATAGCAATCTGGTGCCTGGTGGCACAGTCGATGACGTGGCACGCAACCATTGGTTGATGCATGTAACGTCTGAGCAGGTGAACGCGTGTACAGTGAATGAGCATAAAATAATAGAATGAGAAATATTTGTCCGTCTCTCTTTCTCTGTTTTTTAGATTATGGTTTATGATGATATTCAACAGTATATCACAGAGAGAAAACCACAAGGAATGTCTGGAATTGGAAATTCAGAACAACAATTTCTGTTCACCTCAGCTTTGAAGCACTAATTTGATAAGAGAGAGAGAAATCTTTACCTTTCCCTTGGTCATGTTTGCGTCTTTTTGGATCCCTTTAGTGGTGACTTGCTGTTGTTTATGGTGTTGTTGTTATCCTTATGATGTCATTCGAATGGCTTGTCAACATCAGTAGTAGATTTCCTTCTATATTATAAAGCTCCCTTTTTGTCCTTTTCTTTTTGTGTCCCTTACGTCCTTTTTCTGTTCTTTTCTTTTAGTTTCCCTCAGTCGTGGTACAGTAGAAGAGAGAGATTGAAGTTGTTCTTACTGTGGCTATGCTAAATCTGTCTCCACTGTGCAGATTACAACCAACCAAGCCCTATATAGAGCACTATTAGGAGGTTAATCCCTCTCCAACCCTGATCCCATTTCCCCCCCTATCTCTGCTCTAATGAGGCCGTTCTAGCAACATCCAGGTAAGGTTCCAGCATTGGGACATGCAGGAATGTACCACTGCCTTAACCAAAAAAGGGGTGGTTGATCTCTTTGTAGTAACACTGGCACAAGCGTTTCCCATAGCTTCAGAGCAATTAGGAGGCCCCGCTGATCAGCTGAGGATCCAGACAGGGGGAGGGGGGTTATATATCTGAATTAATTGTGTGTTATGTAGCATACTGACCCCCATAGTAGAATTACAGTAGTAGGAAGGGGGCCTCTGCCAGTCAAACCCATCCCACACATCATCCAAATCTATTTTCATAATACACTTTATAAACCTTTTATAAAACCATCAATAATATCCACCTGTCTTGTCTCTGTCTCTCTCGCCCTCTCCTCCCAATGCTTTTCTCTCCCTCTATCTAGACCAACAGTCCCCAACCAATTCCACAATTCCGTGAATGATAGTCCTCAAGAGCCATTCTAAACATTATTTCATAGAACTTATTTTCCAATCAATCATGTATTTTCTGAATTAATTTTAAATAATACGATAAATGGATAGGAAAAACACAGCTCTTGTGAAACAGTGACATCATGCCTTTGTGTAAGACTAGTTTAGTAACAGCCAGGTAGGATTAATGAGATAGAGGTTAAGAACATTATGTTCCTGAGACGATCCACACATAGAATCCTAATGGGATTTACCTGAAACAGTCATACCACAACAACCTTTGATCTTGTGCTGTAACATTCATTAAGAACGTTTTCTAGAACCCATTGTCTTATCTAACCTCTAGTGCAGGGGTGTCAAACGTACGGCCCGCGGGCCGGATCAGGCCCGCAAACGGGTTTAATCCGGCCCGCGAGATGATTTTGAAAAGTATAAAAATGCGCTGCAATTTTTCAATAAAATAAACTGCTGTTCCAATTGCGTCCCCTGGATGGCGCAATAGCAATTGTGTTAAGCAAGCAAACTGTTTATACCGGGGCAGAGCAAGTAGGTCAAGCACGTGCAGCCAATGAGCTACTTTGTTTTGCCCGCGATATTTATTACGGCTTCTACTTTTAACATTATGTGCTTTGGCACCCTCATTGCCCCAATATGTCTCTGTCAAAAAAGAGAAAAGTGGACGCAGAGTGCAGAGTGTTCCAAGAAAAATGGTCATCCTATTTAATCACGGAATTGAATGGGAAAGCTGTATGTTTGGTGTGTTCAGAGCATGTTGCAGTGCTGAAATAATATAACCTTCGTCGCCACTATGTGAGTCTTCATGCCGACAAATATGACAACTTTCAAGGACAGCAGAGATGAGAGAAGGTGAATGAACTGTTGGCGGGTCTGAAGAAACAGCAGTCTGTGTTTACTCACAGCCGAGACATCAGTGACGCTGCAGTGAAAGCTAGCTACCTCATTGCTAATGAAATCGCAGTGGCTTCAAAACCATTTAGTGAGGGTGAATTTGTAAAAACATGCATGATGAAGGCAGCGGAGATTGTGTGCCCTGAAAAGCGGCAGGCTTTTGCAAATATCAGCCTGACAAGAAACACAGTTGCAGACAGGATTTCCGATCTTTCAGTGGATTTGGACAGCCAGTTGAAGCAAAAAGTAAAGTCATTTATTGCATTTTCGGTTGCAATTGATGAAAGCACGGACATTACAGATGTTGCACAACTGGCCATTTTTTCATCCACGGAGTTGATGACACATTGACCGTCACCGAGGAGTTCGTGGAGTTGGTGCCGATGACAGATACAACGACAGCAGCTGATATGAAGGTGGTCATCCAAACTGTTAATTTCATCCGATCCAGAAGCCTGAATCACCGTCAGTTTGACAGCCTTCTCAGAGAGAAAGACCACATCTATGGCCTGCCATACCACACTGAGGTAAGATGGTTAAGCCGAGGTGCTGTGCTGAGGCGTTTCTTTGATTTACGAGAAGAAATTGAACAGTTCATGGAAGAAAAGGGCAAACCAGTGTTAGAATTTCATTCCGCAGAATGGATGCCGGACCTTGCATTTATGGTGGATGTTACAGAGCACCTGAATAACTTGAACAAACAGCTGCAAGGGCGCAACAAAGTTGTCACGCAGTATTATGACATCATACGTTCTTTCAAGTTGAAGCTGTCATTGTGGGAGACGCAACTTGCCAGTGGTGATGCAGCTCACTTCCCCTGTCTGAAAAATGTGTGCGCGACCCAACATGTGGCAGACATGAAGCAGTTCAAAGATAAAATAACTGGACTGTTACGGGAGTTTGAGCAACACTTTCAGATTTATGTTTATATGTTTTTATGTTGATGTGCTATTGTTTTTAATTGATTTTATTTTATTTGTATATTTAACCTATTCTTGACTCTGTGGTTCTTGCACTTGTTTGGGGAACAGGATTTCATTATTTGTATCTACATTTCTGCCTGAGAAATGACACCCTGATATAGTTCTGTGATCTGTGATATACTTCTGTGAATCACTGAGGCATTGTGTGTTTGTGTGTTCTTTGTCCTCAGAACTTTCAAATAACTTGAGGTGTTTTATGATTAATAGTGATGTTGTGCTTTTGGACACTGTCCTCAGGCTCCAGCTTTATGTTTATATGTTTTTATGTTGATGTGCTATTGTTTTTAATTGATTTTATTTTATTTGTATATTTAACCTATTCTTGACTCTGTGGTTCTTGCACTTGTTTGGGGAACAGGATTTCATTATTTTTAT